CACCTGCCATAAAAATACAGCATCGATTCTCATTCTGATGATATGACCTTCCCTTCTATCTCCTTTTGTAAATGTTTTAGTGTGGAAACACAACGTGAATATCTTATTGGATTTTCTTTCTTTCTTTTTTTTTAAGATTTTATTTATTTATTCATAGACACAGAGAGAGAGGCAGAGACACAGGCAGAGGGAGAAGCAGGCTCCATGCAGGGAGCCCGACGTGGGATTCGATCCCGGGTCTCCAGGATCGCGCCCTGGGCCAAAGGCAGGCGCCAAACCGCTGCGCCACCCAGGGATCCCCCCACATTCTTTTCTAAGGGCTGGTTCAATTCCAGAATTTCCCTGTGATGGGAGCAGCCTACTGCTTTCCAGCGTTCAGTGGGAAAATTATACTGTGGACAGGAAACCTCACAGAAGAGTCACAAACTGTGTTTCTCGTACCCCAGCCTCAGACTTTCCTCTGCCTCTCAATGGCAGGAGCTCTGTAGTTTCGGTTGTTACCTACTGGGGTTGCTCCTGAAGTTCTCCTTGGGGCAGCAAGAGTGGCAGAGAGGGCGGGAGAGTCCATGTCCCCACGAGTGTCACAAGTGCCTGCAGCCACCTTGCCCCGGAGCCGGCCAGATGGGCAGCACACCCTCTGCTGGAGGTGAGCTGGAGCTGATGTGGCCTCCGTCGCTCCACCCGGTGGCATCTGCTGGGCCCCCACCAGAGAGTCACTCTCCAGCCCCCATCCCCACCCTGCCAGGATGCCCTCCTCACCCTGCCTGGTAGACAGTCGCCTTCAGTGTGAACACCCTTGTCACCCGGTGGGGGCTCTGACTCCTGCTCTGGGCACCACCCTCCCCCTTCCACCTTCATGGCTTTAGGACCAAATCTGGAATGAGAAGAGGAAGGACAGGAATGGGAAGAGAAAGAGCCTTCCTTCACTTTCAAAATTAACAACAGTGAAGGGGCACCTGGGGGCTCAGGGGTTGAGCACCTCCCTTAGGCCCAGGTCATGATCCCGGGGTCCTGGGATCGAGTCCCACACCGGGCTCCCCACAGGGAGCCTGCTTCTCCGTCTGCCTGTGTCTCTGCCTCTCTCTCTGTGTCTCTCATGAATAAAATAAAATCTTTAAAAAAAACTAACAACAGTGATCAACAGTGGTAACTGCTAATGCAAATGAGCACCCTGTGCCAGGCACAGTCTAAGCACGTTGCATATACTTACTTGCATTTCGTCTTCATAATGGCCTTCGAGGTTCGTTAGGTAGGAAGCCCTCCTGCACATTAGGCCCATTTCACCGAGAGGTTAAGTCACTTGCCCAGGGCTACACAGCCAGTAGCTGGCAGAACCAGGGTTTGAACCCAGTTCTCTGGCTCTGGAAAATGTGCTTTTCGGGACGCCTGGGTGGTTCAGTCGGTTAAGCGCTGACTTCCACTCAGGTCATGGTCTCAGGGTCCTGAGATCTGGCCCCACATCAGGCTCCCTGCTCAGTGAGGAGTCACTTTGTTCCTCTGCGCCTCCCCCTGCTCGTTCTCTCTCTCTCTTCCTCAAATAAATAAAATTAAAATAAAAAAAAAGCCTTAACCAATCCCTTGCACCCCAGGCCCGTCCACAGGAATGGCCCTGGCTTTGGCCACCGACCATGTCTGCGTTCCCACATCCAATGGAAGGATGTCGGCTCCCACCTGTCAGCGGCTGGCCGCTCCCTTCTTAAAATATCCTCCCTGGGCTCCCAGGACACCGTATCCCTGACTTCCATCCTGCTGCCCAGGCCACGCTTCCCGCGGCTCCTTCTTCTTTCTCTTGTCTTGGGGTTTAATCGCTCAGGGCTTCGGCCTAAGCTCGCTTCTGTCTCACTCTATTTCCCACGAATTCCCGCGTCTTTAGCTGTCACTCAGGCGCTGACAACGTCGATGTTTCCCTTTCTAGCCCGTGCCTGTCTTTGAGCTGCCAAACTCATACCCGGCTGCTAACTTGGCATTTCTGCTTGGTTTTCTCTCTCCGAGGCATCTTGAACTTAGCAGGTCCAAACCCAGCTGCTGGGCTTTTGTCCTTAGCCCTGCGCCCTTCTTGGTTTTCCCCAGATGAATAAAAATGTCACTGGCCGCCCTCCCCCAGCCAGCTGCTTGAGGCAGAAGCCCCAGGACCATCCTTGAGTCTGGCTCCCTGCTCCTGCCATCCCTCTTCTGTTCAGCCCACAGCTAAGTTTTGCTGCCCCTTCTTCCCTAAGGTAGCTTGAAAGTGGTGCGTTTCTCTGCACTCTTACTGCTCAATTCCAAGCCCATCAGCTCTTTCCTGCACTCCTACAACACTCCCCAGGGAGTCCTTCCTGTCCCTTCCCCACACTGCAATCAAGGGTCTTGGAAAGCATACAATGCAGTTGTGCTGGTACACGGCTTAGGATCCTTCCCGGCTGCCCACCGGGCTTCGACTCGGCGTCCTTCCAGCCACACCGTGGCTCACAGGCCCTGCATGATGGGGCCGAGACCTGCTGGTTCACCTTCCTCTCTTGCCGTCACCCCCCTTGCTTACCATACCCTAACCACATCTCCCTTCCTCCTTTCCTTCCCCCCTTCCCCCTTTCCTCTCCCTCCCTCCCCGGCTCCTTTCCATTCCTTTATCACGGTTTCTATGATGAGCCTTCCTGCCCCAGGGCCTTTGTAGACGCGGTTTCCTGCCATCTGTTATCTGCCTAAGGCACACTCATCCTTTAGGTCTTAAAGTTCCTTGGGGAAACTGGGTCCCCTCACCATTACCTGACCTAAATCTGGTTTCCTCATCTCTCCCTCTCACAGGATTTAGCGCACTTTGGCTTAAGAAAATGTCGGCTTGCCACCAGACTCAAGGTCACAGCTCCCCTCTCTCTGTACTTTTATTCCGTAAGTCAATAGTTCCCAACTGGAGGGATGGGCAGGGTGATTCTATTCCCCAGAGGACATTTGGCAATGTCTGCAGATATTTTTCATTGTCACAACTGGGAGTGGCATCTAGGACACACCCTGCAACAAAGAATCATTCTGCTAAAAAATGTCAGTAGTAGAGAAGCTGAGAAACCATGCCCTAGGTGACCTCATGGACTCTTGTGGTTTTAAATACCATCTATATGTTGGCAATTCCCAAATTTGTCTAACTCAGGGCTCAACCTTGAGCTCCAGACTCATACCTGACTGCCTGCTTGACATGTCACCTGGATGTCTGCCAGCACATCAAACTCAGTATGCCTAAAACCTAACTTGACCCTTCTAATTGCTCAGGCTAAAAATACTGCAGATTCTCTGCTTCTTTCTCTCCCACTCACGTCCATCAGCAAATCCTTCCAGCAATTTTCTCAAAGGTGATCCAGCCTTGACCACTGCCGCCACTTCATTGCCACTATCCTGGTGTTCTCCATCATGTCTCCTCCCCTCAGAACTGTCCTCCCTGCTGCTGACCTCACACCTCTGCAGCCTATTTTCAACCTGGCACCCAGAGTGGTATTTTATTTTATTTTATTTTATTTTATTTTTTAAAGCTTTTTTTTAAAATTTTTATTTATTTATGATAGTCACAGAGAGAGAGAGAGAGAGAGAGAGAGAGAGGCAGAGACACAGGCAGAGGGAGAAGCAGGCTCCATGCACCGGGAGCCCGACGTGGGATTCGATCCCGGGTCTCCAGGATCGCGCCCTGGGCCAAAGACAGGCGCCAAACCGCTGCGCCACTCAGGGATCCCCAGAGTGGTCTTTTAAAAATATGCATAAACCATATCACTCACTCACTTCTCTGCACAAAACCTTCCAGTTGTTTCCCATATTGTGGAGATAAAACCAAAGTTCTTACACAGCCTCATCTTTCCGTGACCTCCTGGACCTAAATTCCTACCACTCTTGCCTTTACTCATTTTGCTGCAGCCATACCACACAATAAGTATACCAAGGCCTCAGGGCCTTTGCACTGGCTGTTCCCTCTCCTGGAACACCCCCCCCCCCCAACAGCTGCGTAGCTTTGTTTCCTTGCTTCATGTCAGTCTCTGGATAAAAGGTACCTTCTCAGCGAAGCCTTTCCTAACCACTCTATACACCCCAGTAACCCTCCTGCCTCACTCTCCCTAGCTTCCATACCCTATTTCATGTTTGTCTGAAGGACACATCACCATCTAACGTACTATACACTAATTTCTTTATCTGTTAATTACGTGTTCCCCCACCCTGGCATGTAAGCAGGAACATACCTGTTCCCTTTCAGTGTACTGTTGTATGCTCTACACCCAACACAGTGCTCGGCGCATAGTGGAGACGAATTTGTTCAGTGAATGGATATTATCACCAGTTCACGGATGAGACCCTGGGCCTCAGATGCTTTAAATCACAGTTCTCCAGGCCCCTGCCAGATCTGCGGACTACCTCCCTGCCATCTCCCCTCAGAGGAAGGGGAAGGATAAGGATATTTAGCGGTGAGGGTATGGTAATTTGGGGACAGGAGTGGAGTTTAGTTTCTGGTAAGAAGGAGTGACTGGCGGGCTCAGTCGGCAGAGCACGCAACTCTTGATCTTGGGTGATGAGTTCAAGCCCCACGTTTGGGGCAGAGTTTACTTAAAAGAAGAAGAAGGAGAGGGAGGGGGAGGGGGAGGAGGAGGAGAGGAGGAGGAGGAGAAGAAGAAGAAGACGACGACAGCCCAAGGCCACAGTAGATCCTGAGAGTTGGTGGGGAAAATGTCTCAATGGGCAGAGCCTCCTGAGTCCACCTTTGCAGCATCCCAGATCTAAGAAGCATGATGGGGAAGGGACCAGCTTGGGGGGGGGGTGAACCTGCTGTTCCACTCCCCCAGGCTCTGGCTACCCAGGGGTCCTGAGCACCCCCACCCAGCGGAAGGTGGAAGAGCCACACCCTGTCCTGGCCCTGCTGCCCGGAGGATGCCAGCACAGCAGCTCCGAGCCTCAGGCTCCAGAGGTCGCCTTGCAGGTGTCTCCGCCCCCGCCCCCGGCCGGGAGCCTCCCATCCAGCCTGCGCCCTCCGTGGCCCCGGGCCCTCCACTCACTCTGCCACTCGCTGATGGAGATCATGCCGCAGGCTGCCTGGGGGGCCTTCCGGTCGCAGCTGCCACGGGGCGAGGAGCGGAGAGGGCCTGGCCTGTGCCTGCTCCAGGGAAGCTGACCCTTGGTAAATTGTGAAATGAGCCTCTGGTAAATCATTAACTCCCTCCCGCTCCAAACCCCACCTCTCCCCTCCTCACTCAAACGGCTGCTTCAAGTCCTAGGCTCTCTTCGGCCCACTGGTGGCCCAGGGCACCGAGGGCACCGAGGGCACCGAGGGCAGCGGCCCGTTGCGCGCTCCGCCTACCTGGAGGAGGCAAGGCCCACCCGCCCCCCAGCGCCCCGCTCCGCGGGGTGGTACAGAGGAGGGGGCCTCGGGCTCCCGGGCTCCTATTCTGGACCGATGGCGGCTGTGGGAAGACTTGGAATCCGTGTTTCTCTTTGGAAAACTCCGCAATTCATCCTGCAGGTGCAGCCGCGGGCTTTGCGCTAGTACCCGGGCTGGACGCCAGGGGCCGCGAGCCACCAGGTGAACCTGTTGCGGGCAGGCCCGACGGCGGGACTCCGGGGAGTTGGACACAAAGGGCTTCGACCTCCTTTCCCCCGGCGGAGTTCGGCCTAGGATAGTGAGGTTGAGCGAGGGAGGATGAAAGAGGAGTTTGGGCTTGGGGTAAGGCTGGATGCTTCCAGAAGTCTGGTTCTAGTTCATCCCCCAGCTGTGTAGACATGGGTGCATCGTTTCCTTCCTCTGCAGACCTGCAAAAAGAGGGGTGGACAGTTTCTGACATCCCCTCCACCCCTGCAGAGCAGTGGTTCTCAAACTCTGTGAGCCAGCATCCCCTTTGTAACGTCCCCTCTGTCCTGAAATGAAATTTGTAGAGATGACCAGTCTCTGCACGTCATTTAAAAAACAAAACACTGGGGATCCCTGGGTGGCTCAGCGGTTCGGCGCCTGCCTTTGGCCCAGGGCGCGATCCTGGAGTCTCGGGATCGAATCCCACATCGGGGTCCCGGCATGGAGCCTGCTTCTCCCTCTGCCTGTGTCTCTGCCTCTCTCTCTCTCTCTCTCTGTGTCTATCATAAATAAATAAATCTTTAAAAAAACAAAACAAAACACTAATTATAAGAAGGAAAAAAAGAATTTATAATAAAGCACGATGTCTTTCATATATAAATGTTAAGTAAGACTTACCCAGAAGACATAAATGAAACAGGCAGATTTCTTGCACCTACTTATTAAGAATAAACATGCTTAAAATTTAAGAGGAATAGAGAACCACAGTCCTTACGTACAAAACAAAGAACCTTTCCCTGCGCAGCCCAAGAGAATGAGAGAGCAGTGGGAAAGGAACACAAGGATAAAAGCTGTTCGGTAAGAGGTAACAGACCAGAGTACTTGCCTATGAAAAGAGAAAGAGGGAAACGGCCTTAATCAAAAGAGGCACAGCAGGGCGAGGCGAAGTGGAGACAAGGAGGAGGCGCCCTGAATGCAGATGAAGCAGGTCCTCTGTGGGGTTGCTAAGGTGGCTCTCCGTGCTCCCGGCGGCGCAGCGGCGTCATCAGACACAGACATCACTGTCTTGAAATGCCGCCGTGTTGATGCGCCTGGAGGTGGGGTATGCCCAGCAGGCAATGGGGAGTGGAGGTGGGTTGGACAAGAAAATGGGATGCGAGCCCCCAGGGCCAGTGGCTGCGGTGGGGGGGGCGGGGGGGCGGCCCTGGTCCAGTGGTGGAGAAAGCTAGCAAGTCCCCCAAACATTTACACCTTCAGTCTTTAAAACAAAGGTGTTTGTCCTTGGGCTGCAAAAACTCGAAAAATGTAAGGAATGGCAATCCTATGAAATAAATTTCTCTAATGAAATCTCGTGCATTTCAAGTATCTTTGTTTTAATGACTGGTTCTCTCAGAACTCCCCCCCCCCACCTTTACCTATTTACAGGAGCCTGTGCTTGCTGAGACCAGACTGTCTTGGAATCCTCCTCATAAACCATAGTTGAGGGTAACACTACCTCGTGCAGACAATCCGTGCAGTAGTTTATGCAACGACTTTGAGACAATCCCACTTCAGCTTCTTCTCCGTTGTGACCGACCATCTTGGCATTTGCAGAGCCATTCATGAAACTGATTTATTTATTTATTTTTAAAGATTTTATTTATTTATTCATGATAGTCACACAGAGAGAGACAGAGATGCAGAGACACAGGCAGAGGGAGAAGCAGGCTCCATGCACCGGGAGCCCGACGTGGGATTCGATCCCGGGTCTCCAGGATCGCGCCCTGGGCCAAAGGCAGGCGCCAAACCGCTGCGCCACCCAGGGATCCCTGAAACTGATTTAAAAGCCACCAATTTAGGGGCGCCTTGGCACCTCAGTTCGTTGAGTGTGGGACTGTTGATTTGGCTCAAGGCATGACCTCAGGGTCCTGAGATTAAGTTCCATGTGGGGCTTTGCACTAAGCAGGGAGTCTGCTTGAGATGCTCTCCTTCTCCCCCATTCACTCTCTCTCTAGTGAATATTTTTTAAAATAAGTTTTTACGTATTTATTCATGAGACATACACACACACACACACACACACACAGACACGGGCAGAGGGAGAAGCAGGCTCCCTGCAGGGAGCTCAATGTGGGGTTTGATGTGGGACTCGATCCCAGGACCCCAGGACCCCAACCTGAGCCAAAGGTAGACGCTCAACCATTGAGCCACCCAGGTGCCTCTTCTTAGTACTATCATGAATTGCAAGATGACTAACGTCCTGAAAGGGGGTTTGGTCCATTTATACATTTTAAAGTCATACAGGATAGAGGATGGTTATTATTTTGGAAACCTACCCTGTGCATTGCAGCCACTAAATCTTGTCTCTCGTCGAGAGAGAGGTATTACCTCTTGTCTGAGGTAGCCTCAGCTCCCCAGATTTCCACACTTTGCCCTAGGGGACGCTACCACCCCCATTGAAGGCACTGGCTGGTTAGGAGTTTGGGCTCTGAAGTCAGAGTGCTCTGGACTTCACTGTAGCTTGGTGAGACCTGACACATTTTATTTACCTTTCTGCACCTCAGCGTCTTGGATGATGATAGCACCTGTCACACGGAGCTAGAGCAAGGCCTGGGAAGTAGCTGGCCAGGTCTCCGCAGCAGCGGGATCTGAAGCCTGGTTGCCTGCCCCAGCCCGTGGTGTGTGCATCTCTCCAAGAACAACACATGACTGCGCTGTTACACAGCCCCTCCTCCTCCTCCTCCTCCTCTTTCTTCTTTCTTCTTCTTCTTCTTCTTCTTCTTCTTCTTCTTCTTCTTCTTCTTTCTTCTTCTTCTTCTTCTTCTTCTTCTTCTTCTTCTTTCTTCTTCTTCTTCTTCTTCTTCTTCTTTCTTCTTCTCTTCTTCTTCTTCTTCTTCTTCTCTTCTTCCTTCCTTCTTCTTCTTCTTCTTTCTTCTTCTTCTTTTTTAGATTTTATTTATTCATGAAAGACACACACAGAGAGAGAGAGAGAGGCAGAGATACAGAGAGAGAGAGAGAAGCAGGCTCCTCACAGGGAGCTGGATGCGGGACTTGATCCCGGGACTCCAGGATCAGGCCCCGGGCTGAAGGCAGGCGCTAAACGGCTGAGCCACCCAGGCACCCCCACAGCCCCACTTCTTAAGGGCCTTCTGCAAGGCGCTTTTTCATTTACATTTCCTGACTAGCCCCCCTTTACCACCGCAGCCCCGCGTGCTCAGAGGGCTGATGGGGGGCCTGCTGCTGCGGCAGGCAGAGACCCAAGAGCAACGTTCTCGAGGAGGAGCCAGCCCTTGTTTGTGGGGAGAGTGACACCCAGCGGTGCCCTGTGCTCTCACGTCCCCCCTCCTCTCCAAGCCATGGGCTCTGGCCCAGAGGGCGCTGCAGGTAGAGACACAGGTTGTCCAGGGCACCTCCTCCAGCTCTAGAGGCCACTGTTGTGAGTCTGTGTCAGGTCCCAATTCTGTCTGATTCACAAAGGACATCAGAGCTTATAGCTCTCCTGGGGGTGGTAAAAAACCCAAAATATACTCACATGATTTGTTAAACACACTCACACACACTCCTAGCTCTTTAGGAATGAGAACAGATGTCCAGAATTTGAAATCGGCCCTTAGAACCAGGGCAAGGTAAAATCAGGAATTACAAGAGGCTTGCCTTCCCATCCCATGTCTCAATTTTCTTCTCTTCTCTGAACCATTAATGCCTCCAGCTCTCCTCCCCAGACATCCTGCAGGGGCCTGGCTGAGGACTTCCACTATCCTCGGCTCGCTTTCTCGCTCTACTCTCCACTGAATAGAATTCACAGGGCTTCTTCACTCTTACACTGAAAGATTTTCAAATCAGCAGCTCTGGTAAAGTCCTTCACACCGAGGATCAATAACTGAAAACAGGGGCACCTGGGTGGCTCAGTGGTTGAGTGTTTGCCTTTAGCTCAGGACATGATCTCCGGGTTCTGGGATCAAGTCCCGCATCAGGCTCCTTGCTCAGTGGAGAGCCTGCTTCTCCCTCTGCCTATGTCTCTGCCTCTCTCTGTGTCTCTCATGAATAAATAAAATCTTAATAAAAATACTCTGGTCTTAAAAACAACAACAAACCCCCCCCCCAGTAACCACTTAAAAAAAAAAACACTAATAAAAAAACTAGTAGCACCTGCCAAAGGACATAAACCAAAGGCATTGAGGCTGGATGAGAATGATTTGGGTGGCTTTTCTGATACTGCTCACCAAAACACCTTCTTGTACCCCAAAGCAGAAATATAGGGCATTGTGTAGTGATCGAGAAAGCCTAAGAATTAATTTTCTTCTACAGTTCTACCCTCAGTCTCAGAGACAAATCAACGAGAAGTTTCCAGGATCTGAACACTGTTCTGGTAACTCTCATTACACAGGACCTTGGGACAAGGCTTGATTTGGGCTTACTGGGACAGAAAAGAGGACTGTGGTGGGGAACATACCATGGGCCCAGCTTTGCTTTTAGTCAGGTAAGGCCCAACCCCAGACCCTCTACCTTTTTCTGCCAAGCTCCTAAGTTACCATGAGCCACCAAGGCCAGCCACAGGCAGTCACGGACAGAGTGCGAGACACAGGCCACTTGTACAAACCATTCATTTTATTCCTTGTATTGAGTTTATACAAACTTGCAAGGTACAAATGCAGAGCTCACTGGGATTCTTCAGTACCTAGATCTAAAAAGAATGCTGGGGAGCAGGGAAGCAGACGCTCACCTAGCAGTCAGGATGCCCTTTCCTGGGGAGGGGGCTTGTTGGCGAGAAAGATGCTAAGGGGTGGCTACAGATGTTTGGTCCCCCAACAGAGATGCCCTCTGTTTAGCTAACTTTAATGTTTCTTCTAAGGTCACTTTTATACTAAATAAAGACACTGAGATCATACATTTCCTCGTATGGTTTATTGTCTAATACTAGCAGATCAAATTGGCCCCAGTATGTGCATAAATAGATATATGTATATATATTTATATGTATATTTCATATTTTCCTTAGTTTTAAGAGCTGCCAGGTAAGGGGGTGCCTAAAGGGGAAAGGGATTGATTCCGTCTTGCTATAGTCAGCCCTGCCCCAAGAACATGCCTCTCACCAAGGCAGGAGAGCAAGTGCGCACAGCTTGCGACCTCAGAAAAATCTTTAAAGTGACAGTAGCATTATTTGATTACAGCCTCTTGGTTATTGATCAGGGAGGTAATGTGCTAATTGGGAAGGCAAGGCCCTAGAATAGCAACCAGGGCTGTCCCCCGGTGGGTTACTTAGCCCTGGGCCTCCATCTGGGCCCCATTCTTTCATAAGGAGATGCTGTAGGCTGGGAACAGGGAGCCAGTAAATGTCAAAGTTGGGAAGTCAGGCTTCAAAAGCCGGCTAGGAGCTCTGTGACAGTCCCAAACCCTTGGATTCCATTCTGCCCAAATGCTTGCAAGGCAAGAGCCCCTTACCTACTTTGTCAGCTGATAAGCAGTTTGGAAGGCTGAGCCGGCGGAGGTCAGCACCCCGGTGGCAGCCTGCAGAGGAGAGTCCTGGGGGCTTCTTGGGCAAGGCTGAGATGTTACCTTGCCCATGGGACCCACTTCAGCCCAGAAGCCGACTTTGCAGTCTGGATGCCAGACTGAGGTACCGTTTCCCTTAACTGGAGCCCCCAGAGGAAAGGTCACAAAGGGAGACCGATGTCATTGATGTGACCCAGACCAGAAAGGGATCAAGGAGTGTGAGAAGTCCAAGGAACTTGAACGTGTCTGTGCTGAAGGACCTGTGGTCCTGAAATATTTCCTTTGGCCTTTGTCCTGTATCTCCTACTCCATTGGGGAGTAGAGTTCTTGGTGCCATTTGGCATAGGCTGCCATTGACTGCCCTCTCCAGTAGACTGATGACAGGAGGTGGTCCAGGAGAACACTGGAGGTGTGTGTGTGTGTGTGTGTGTGTGGTGTGTGTGCGGCCCGCACGGGTGTACTTCTGTGCACACAGCTGTAAACATTTCCTCTGAGAGGATTCACATCCCGTAACCCGAGGGGCTCATCAAGAGTTGACAGTGTAATCAAATCCTTGGACCAGGACTTCCAAGAGAACGTCCTGCCCTGGTAAAATGCTCTCTGGGCGAGCTCTGGGGACCAGCCCTTTGCAGACTGGGGGATGGGAGAAGGAAGCTGCCAGGGAAGAGGGAGGGACGTAGGGCTGGACCGAGAGGCAGCCACCCAGTCTCTTCGTATCATTTGCTGATTCCATTCAGACATTGCACATTTCGAAAATAGATTTGCTTTTATAACAAAAGCGTAAAATAGATCTGTCTTAAAATAAGTCTGTCCTCTCCCCTTCTTTGGATCAAAAGGCATGGGGTGTGGCCATAACATGCTAGGAATGGTGTGGAAAATCAAGGAGGGAAGTGGCCTGGGCAGGAGTTCTGGGAAAGGATCAGACGTCCAAACAAATATATATATTAGGTATATATCTATAATATGTATAATCTTCATAAAACATATATTAAGGCATGTAAAGCAACATAAAGAGCCAGCTTTATGAAATAAGAGGTGAGAGAGAAGTGTAGAGGTGCAGACATTAACCCTTGGTATTTTGCACGTATTTCTAAAAATATCACTTAAAAAAAAAAAAAGGAGACAGACAAAGAAAGGGGAAGGCATGGAGGCCCTGAAACAGCTGCTTCTTGTGGAGGGAGGAGGGTGTTGGAAAGAGGGAGAGGGCCAATCCCACCTGCCAGTCTGTGGGGGGAGGGAAAAACAGGTTTGGGGTGCTTCATGTGCGTTAAAGATGGGAAATGTAGCCAAAGGTCATGTTCAAAAAAATCTGCTAAAAAGTGAAATTCCCCAGCCTGCAACCCCTCAGAAGCACGAGAATACCCGAAGTACCTAGAACAGTGCCTGGTACATAAAAGGTGCTCGGTAAATATTTGTTGAATGAATTGCCATCTTTACTTGCATATGAACCAGTAACCGTCCCGGCTGTGAAGGCGTGGAGGAGAACTGGTGGCAGATAAAGCAGTTGTTCTTGCGACCACTGGAGGTTGAAGTCTCCCGGCAGCAACTCTGGCAAAGAGCTGGCCTTGGGGCCCAGGTTTTTCCAGTCTCACTCTCCCCTCCCTCCTCTCTGGCTACAGTCCTCCCATGATGAGCGGCGAGAAGGAAAAACAATCTTTGCTTCTGTGTCTCCTCCACCGGCCTCCCCGGGTAGGCAGATGGTGAGAAAGCCAGGCCAGAAGGGAGTCCTTCCGTACAGCCTCACCTGGTCCTCCGAGGGGTTGCTCACGATGCAGGATGGGGCCCTGCAAGGCCCTAGCCTTGCAGACTGAGGTTGCATTTCCTTTCAAGGGCACCCTCTCAGCTGGCCCACGGCACATTCCAGGGGCAAGGCGGACAAGAAAATGTCCCAAACAGGGTTAGGAAAGGCCCCAAGGCTGACTACACCCTACATGACACAGGTCCTTCTCTCTGCCCCCGAGCCTAGGAGGGGAAGGCAGACACACCAGGCCCAGACCCAGGAAGGGCCATCTCCGACCCACTCAGCCACACCAGCCTCCCCACAACTGTCCCCACGGCTGCTGCTGCAGGCCACCATGTGCTCACTGGTGGGCCCTCTCAGAGCCAGTGTGGGCAGGCCGGTGGATCCGGGAGAGCAGGTGGGGGAGCAGAGCTGGCATCCGGCACGTACTTGGCACTTAAGCTAACGCTCCATCCTGGGGAAACCAATCCCACGGCCCCTTTCCACCTCTGTCTCATCCTCTCACTTGCAAACGAGTCCCACTGCTTCCCTGTCCTCCCACTTGCCTCCATCTCTTTCTCTCTTCTCCCCCTTCTCAACCTGTCCTCAGACGCTGCACAGACCTGCGTGCCGCTCTCCACCTACAGCCAGCACTGTCCCCTCTGGGAGCCGAGGAGCCTCTCCTCGTCACTGGTCATCTTGTCTTTGGCTCAAGCAGGGTGGTCGGTCTCCACCAGACCCCAAAGGAGCACCCACGAGCAGAGATGTGTCAAAGCCCCCGGTACAGCTGGGGTGGCAGGATGGGAATGACGGGGGAAGGACCTGCTGGCACGTGCTGTCCTCGATGTCAGGAGTGTCCGTCTTCTCTTCACTCTAGACCTAACCCAAGACAGCCCAGAGCATCTTTCCCACCGGGGCATCCTCTTCCTCAGGAAATGTTCTAGTAGGGCCAGCGCACCACCAGCTGGGGCCAGGCCTAGCCCCCGGGAGGCGCCCGCTGGGAGGGTGCTCTCTGCCCACCATCTCAAGCCCTGGCCTGGTGCTGCCATCTGAGTAGCAAGGGCTTCAGGGCCAGGCGTGGTGGGCATGTGGACACTGAGGTAAGTCTCGGCAGCAACCCTGGCCCCAGCCTGGCTCCCTGCAGCATTCCCACAGGAGCGCAGGGGCGGGGGGGCCAGGCTGGGGAGTCAGGACCTCAGTAGGCAGAGGGGACCTTCAGAACGTGGCTCTGTGGAGCTTCATGGCGTTGGCCTCGGCCAGGGCTTGCACTAAAGAAAAGAGAAACGGGTGAGAAAGGTGCTTCCTGGAGGAGCAACAGCTCCAGTCAAGCTTCCCCAGGAGACAGAAGTCTCTTCTTGCAGAACCCTATGGAACACCGCCCACCTGCCACCCCCAGCCCTGAGAGGGGAGCAAATGAATGGAAGTCCGTGCTCTTTTCCACTTGCCTGACACTGAGCGACTGTGCGCCAGGGGAAACGAAGGCACCTGGCCTGTGGCCAGAATTTCCAATGTTATTTTCATTTACAGTAAAATCTAGGGGCCGTGTGGGAGAAATAAAATCTGGGGGCTTCTGAGGCAGGACTGCTGTGTATCTCAGCAGGTGGGAGGCTTGTTGGCCCAGGACGGGGTAGGGGAGGCCTCAGCTCTGTCCCTGTCTGCTTCTGGAGAAGCAAAGCCCACGGGCACTGCGGCATCCAGGAGGCGGCCCTCCCAGCTGGTGCTGGTCCAACACTGCACGGGGACAAGGGGATGTGGGGGGGAAGGGGGGGACAGGGGGACGGGGATGCTGCGGGCTCAAGCAGATGGATGGAGGGGAGAGAGCGACGCTGGGGGCGAGGGCAAAGCGATGCTGGAATGAGGGGGGTGGTAGATGGCTCCCGGGGGTGAGGGGTGGGGGTCCCACTCACCGTGGTGGAGGAAATACAGTAGAAAAGTTCTTACGTCAGAGCTCAGACCCGCATGGTATGGCTGCTGTCGGCGCCCCGTGGGGAGTCAGACGATAGGGGGTTGGCTGGTGGAGTCAGGGAAGCAGGGGAGGTGGGAGGGCTTGGGGTGGCACATTGCACTGGAAACAGAAATGAACAGGGAGGTGAATAGGGGTAGGGGGCGGGGGGGAGGCCGGGCACCCAGAGCGAGTGGGCCCTTCCCCCAGCGGGGAGCCAGGCAGGAGGCAAGCAGAGAGGAGAGCTGAGGCAGAGTGGGCCTGGGAAGGAGGGTGGGTCCCCCGCCCCCCAGGAGACAGGGCCCCGCAGGCTCAGCCGAGGACCAGTGGTGACTGTGGGCGAGGCCGGCCTCTCTGGGCCCAGGCTCCACTCCCATCCGTACAACGTGGGACGGAGCAGCTGGAACAAGCGACGCACCTCACACACACTGGTACAGGGACGATGATGATGACGAGGGCAGTAAACCACACTAGCCCAGATCATCAGGCCCCTGGTAACGACTACATCCAAGCAATCACCATGTGAATCATCTCCACGGAAGCGGAGATGATTCCAGGGACGGTGGAAGCAAGTTCTGCGAACTTAGACCAGCTCGGGGTCTCAGAAACACACCCCCGGCCTCCCACTATCCCTGGGGACCCCCTTTCCTTCAATCCAGAAAGGGCGAACTTTGGTCCACCCCTGAACAAAAAGCACTGCAGACCTCCAAGCGGTGACACTGGAATGAATGGATTTTACTCTATTATGGCCATGGCTCTATGCTGGGAAGAGCCAGGTGGAAGGACAATGACAGGGGGCGGGGGGCCATATTAGGAGGCATGAGTTCTGTGCAGTCTGCAGACCCTTCGGCACCCTCAGTGCCACTGTGAGGCAGCAGACTGGGGGAGAGAACGTCCTCACTTGGCCTCAGAGGAGAACCAGACCTTGGCCAGGGTCACACAGTGTCCTCCAAGAGAAGGATCCTGGCATCCCACTTCCTAAGCGCTTGCTCCCCATCCTGCCCTGCTCCGGACCTCATCAGTTCCCTGCCATCGGAGTAGGGGAAAGGGCCAGTGCAGCTCCCATTGCCTACACACACACACACACACACACACACACACACACACACACACACACACAGTTGTACGTAAGACTTGGGACTTTCTCGTGAGCAGGAGAGTCTGCTCAGAATACACAGTGTGTGCACGGGATCCAACAGTATTCTACGTCCACTGCACACAACTCAGATGCGTGTGTTTGTGCACTTCCAAACCCATACGCTTCCATGTGATCCAACACACGTGTAACATCACACACAAGCACATTCGCGAACGCTTTCAAAACACATATTTGTGTGTATGTCTGTATGGCGAGCCCAGCGGTTAGTTATCCGGCAACTTCAACTTCTAAGACAATCAAAAAAGTCAAAAAACCAAGCAAGGGCTATTTCAGGAAAGCCAAATATCTATTGCAACGTGCACGTGGTGAAGCTCGTACAATTATTGGCAGACAAGCTCCTTGGAGTCCAGTTACTCTTATTTCTACACACTTCTGATAGGAGTCGACCTGCTGGATGTCTACCCCGCGGAAGATAAGAAACAGGGAAATTTAGGGGAGAGAGAGGACTCCAGGAGGCCCACTGAAGATAGAAAAAAGTACAACTGAGGAGAAAAAGCCTTTTGTGAAATGTAGCTTATAATACCCTTAAAAATACAACAGTTTGGGAGCACGTAGCATAGTTATGATCTGTACCAACTCTGGCTGCAGAGGGCATCCCTTCAACGGCTCAGCAAAAACATGGATTTTTATAATGATACTAAATGAACAAGAGCAAGAAAGATGAATTATGTTAAATATAACTCCTTTATAAAGGCAGAGAAGTTTTAAGTGTATATTAGGGTATATTAGGAACGTATCTATTGAAATAGTGAAAATTCACGGGGCTCCTGGGTGGTTGTCGGTTATGTGGCTACCTCCGGCTCAGGTCATGATCTCCGGGTCCTGGGATGGAGCCCTGCATCAGGCTCCATGCTGGTGGTGGTGGTGGGGGGGGGGTTGTTCTCTGCCCCCCCCCCCCGCCGCTCATGCTCTATCTCTCTCTCTCTCCCCCCTCTCTCAACAACAAACAAACAACAAACAAATAAAATCTTTATATAAAAAAAAGAAAGAAACAGGGGCACCTGGGTAGCTCAGTTGGGTAAGCATCTGCCTTTGGCTCAGGTCACGATCCTGGGGTTCTGCGATCAAGCCCTGCATTGGGGTCCCTGCTCACCCTCTCCCTTTGCACCTCTCCCCCTGCTCATGTTCTCACTCACTTTGCTCTCTCTCAAATAAATGAAAAAAAAAATCTTAAAAAAAAATAGACAACCTTTAAAAAAAAAAAAAGAAAGTTAAAATTCACACAGATAGTAGCTGTGTATGGGATAGATGTGATATTATGATTGTGTGTTCACAAGTAATACCACATCTGCTTGCATTGGTAATTGGTCACATCCTTCACCTTCATGAGACACGCTCTCTCCCATCCTGCACACGCAGATACACATTTACGAATATTGCAATGTATACGCTGTGCACAACATACACACAAATGTGTTTTATCACTCCTCATACTGCAAAAAAGCCAATTATACTTAAATACATTCATACATATTATACTTAAGTACATTCATAAACACTACCTCCATCCGTATATTGTACACTCACATACACGTATACAAACTCCAGGAGTTTACTAAATGCCGCCCGTACTCATAAATAATGGTCTCTGAACAATATTCATAGACATTCTGCACACATATACACACATAGTTCTATGTTTGCACTCAAATATTCCCTTCACCCACGCACTTGAGTATACACAAGTACATGTGTGTCTACACACATCACCCCCTACGGACACCGCACATGATATCCTGCCACGCGTACAAATGTGAAATTGTTGCGCCTTCCCATATGCCTCATGCCTGAGTCTGTACATTCTGGGTATACTGACAAGCATTACACCATCCACGCCACATACCCACACTGGGGCACCTCCTCTCCACTCTGAGCTCGCTGCACCGTCATTATGGCCCGACACCAGCACTCCCATACACACAGTCCCAGGCTTGAACCTATGCCCACAAACAGCCCTCCCTGTCCCTGGCAAGGCTGCAGCTCTGGGAATCTGGGCCAGAGGCCAAGGGACAGTGGGCACAGTAGGCTAAGTCTGAGGTCTGGCCCTGCTATGCCATTTTTTAAATAGTTGGGGTTTTGGCAAAAGCAGAGTGACGGTTTGCTTTCAGCGCACAGATCCTGAAATGTAAGCTGGTGTGTATCGAGAAGGAAATCTGATAGGCTAGGGTGGGTTTTGTTTTCATGGAACCTTTGGCTGAGAAACTATAGTAGGGAGAGAGCCAGGGACTGGGGCGAGGGCAGAGGGAAGTTTTAAAAACAGTGTTGTGCGCTCTGACCCTTGAAACAGGAAGTTGCCTTTTGCCTAGAGCATGAGGAATTTGATCTTTGGAAGATTCGAGTTCATTTTACAGCTGAACTACAGAGAGGTAGGATGGAGGCCTCTGTGCAGCCAAACTGGTTCTGCTTCCTTTGGCTGCAAGATGGGACTATCTGAAGCCCATCCCTTCTCTTGTCCTCAATCCAGCCCAACCGACCTCCTCTCTCTGAAATACCTCCAAGGGTGTTCCCTGCCCGCCCACTTAATGTCCATTAGACCCTAACTGCCAGTAGGTTCTTCCTTAAGGCATAAATTTCCTTTGTTGCAGCCTGAAACCCTCTGGTCCCTAAAACTATCCATATTTAAAAGAGTGAGAAAAACCATACACAGATCCTATTTCTACTCCAGCTATTGCTACGTCAACGAATCCAATCACAGTCACCAACACCACCATGACCACATCTGGCTACCATTTATCGAGCACTTACTAAGTGCCAGGCACTGTGCTAGGTGCTTCGCATTTATCATCACCATTCCTCACGCCACCAGGCAGCTGTTCTGATTTGAATTTTACATGTGAGCGAACGGAGTCTCAGAAAGCCAGAATTCAAATCCCCCTTGGTCACCAACATGAAACGCTGTAGCTGTTCTACTGGGCTCCTGGCTACGGCCTTGATCGCCGGCCCCTCACCCAGGCGACTGTCACTGTGGGCTAACATACCTGTCTCTCGGCCTCCTCCTTCTACTCAAGTCCTTGCAGACCTGGCATCCTTCCCGGGCGTCCCTCTGGACTAGCTTCAAAGCTCTCCCTGTCTGTCCTAACCACCTTTTGGTCTGAGGAGGAGGACATATCCTGTTGTCTTCCCTCCAACCTGGCTTCATGACGGCAACTAACCACTGCACTTCCTCCATCCGGCCCCCTCCCATGAAGAGTCTCTTCCATTCTTCCTGATCCCATTCTCACTTTCTCTGGGGTGGTATCTCGGGCTGACTTTCACCCCACTGTGTCTACTCGGAACCCTCTTACTTTTGAATCAGTGTATGAGTCCGTTCCTCAGGCTCGTCTTTTCTTAGAAAAGTGGGTTTGGGTCAGTAGCCAGGGCCTGACTATTGCTCTCATCTCTGGCTACCAGCCCCATTTTCACCTTCCTATTTGCACGCAGCAAGAACGGGAAGTGAGAGGGTAGCCTGCGATGCCTGTCCCTCACTTCACAACTGGTAATACTTTGATCCTTCCCAGCCAAGCTCAGGTATTGCCTCTTAGCTGTGCCCTTCCTTGAGCTGCCCAGGTAGAGTGGTGCCCTTGCTCCCTGCATGGCCTCTGGCCATTCCTCCACAGAGCGGCGAGAAGGGTCATCACAGTTCTGAGCTCCTGGATGCAACTCTGGCCCCTTGGTACCCCACTGAGCCTAGCACAGTATCTGGTGCTCAATAAATGCTCATCTTGACCTTGAGGAAAGTCTCACTGGCCCTGGACCTCTCTAGCCCTGGCCCCCTCACAGCACTGAGCTTCCTCCCCTGCACCTGGTCAGCCGGTCTCCCTGGAGGAGTGAGGCCCGGCCCCTCTCACCAGACAGCATGCGGCCCCTGCGGGAGGCCTCGGTCGCCAGGGCACAGGAGATTTCAATCCGCTTCTCCTGCTCCTGCAGCTGGCTCTCTGAGTCCTGGGGCACGTCCACAAGGTCCCCCTCGCCGATGGGCACCACGTTCTGCATACTGAAGAGGCACAGACACACAGACATGGAGTGGGGGGACAGGATGGTCCAATTGGCTTGGGGGGGGGCCTGTGAACTGAGGTTGGCAAGGTGGCCAGAGGCCTGTGAGTGGGCAGGCTCTGGTTCCCAGCAAGGCTGTCCCCAGGGGTGAGTGGGACCCAGGCAAAACACATTTCGGGACCCCCCACCGCAATGTTTTAAAATGAATTAGAAGATTCAAGTGAACATTTAGGGCAGCCTTGATGAGGAAGAGAAGTCACCAGTGGGCAACCCATCAGTTTGTCTTGACAACAGCACATGCCCGTGTCCAGCAGGTTGTTTTGGAACTCGACGGCAGCGTCACTGCCCTGCCACAGGGCTGGGCCTGGTCTGCTGCCTTGAGCCGCTGCCTCCATTCGCTCTCCGCCTGGGAGACTCAGGGCTCCCACTGGCATGGGTTGGGGGGCTGGATTCGGTGGCACTAGTGCCCCTGGTGCTAGGGTGGGCAGAGAATGTTGAGGTTCACTCAGACACGTTACCTGGACTTGGCAATGAGTGTCTTGATCCTCTCCACCTTCTTCTGCTTTTCCTTCAACTCCTCGGGACTCAGGGGAGTATCAGGCTCCAGGTCAATATACCGTTCAGGGATGAGGACTTTGTCTGGCGTGGAGAGCTGTGAAGGGATCCAGGTCAGCACCTCCATTCCACCTGCCAACCCCCCAGGCTTTCTTCTCCCGCTCTGCCCTCCTGGACTTCACTCACCTCCTTATTGATGTCCACATCATAGTGCTGGGGTTCCAGCTCCATTTTGCGAAGCCGGGCAATTTCCTCTCTCGGTGTCTCATAGGCCTGCCCACCAGGCTCCTCTGCCCGCAGGGCTGCTTCCAAGTTGGAGATGTCCACCTCATGGATGCTACGGTGACGGCGCACCTGGGGGACAGAACCATCATGACCACAGAGGGACTTTGTCCCGCTGCCGGCAGCTTGTCCTCTGCTACCCATGCCTCCAGACAGCCCTAAACCAGGCCTGTGTTCCCGCTGTCCCCGCTCATCACACCCGATCTGGCTGTCACCCCATCGCTCTCACTGCAGGGCAACTATCCTCTTTCTACACTGTTTGTCCAAGGCCTGCCCACCTGCAAAGGCCCAGAGGCAAAAATCTCATCAGTGCATCTCATCCATACTTGTTACTTCTCATCCGGTGCTGCTCTGTGTTCATATTATGTGTCACATATTTTAGGCAGTTGGATTAGTGTGTCCTACGTTCGTCTTTAGTGGTTTCCTATTATAGGATCTCCAAACCACCAAGGAGAATGTAAGCTGTTTGAAGGTAGGACTTTTAATCATTATTTTCCTGTATTGCTGAGTGCTAGAAAGAAAAAGTAGGCAGATGCCTGGGGCTACTCCCAGCTCCACACTCAGCAGCCAAGTGGTCCAGGAATCCCTAATTTTTCCTGTGTTTCCCTATCTCTAAAACAGGGGGGATCGTTCCTAACCTGGCACTGCTGAAAGATCTAAACAAAATAACACGAGATTCGAGAATTGTGCAGGGCCATGCACCAGCACACTATTAGCATTATCCTCAGTAGATCCAGCCCAGTGGTAAATATCCAGAAAATGTTCTAGAAATATGTTTAAGTGATGGCTCCTCCTGGGGAGTGAATTTTGCACTATTCTCTATCGACTGAATTTTGTGTAATTCATTTCAACTAAAATAATCAGCGCATTCCTTTCTGTAAGTTATTTTTCTTTGAATATATACAAGGAATGCTTGTTGCAATGTATCTTCTGCCCAGTGGGGAGAAGCCTCGGCCAGTTCTCCCAAGTGCCCAGCATGGGTCCTTCCCAGCCCCTCTCTCTCTCTGTGCCCCTCACCCAACCGCTGTGGCCAGGCCGGTCACGAGCTGGGAGTGGGCAGCGTTGGCAGATGTTGAGCCATGGCCGCGGGTGGCTGGGGGGACGTTACCACTTTGTAGGTGGGCCGGCTGGCAGGGTCAGGGGCTGGACTGGCTGGGAGCTGCAGGCTCCTCCGCTTCTCCTTCATGGAGCCACTTTGATGCCTCCGCATGCGATCCATCTGCTCCTCCACGCTCATCTTGACCTTGCCCTCGCCGGGGAACACTGCACTTTTGGGGCGCTCCTGCTGCAGCAGGGAGAACAGGGCTCTGACAGGTGCTCATCCCCCACTCCCAGCTTATTCACCTGCCCTAATGCCTTAAATGTCCCTTCTCTGGGAAGCCTGTCTGTAGTGGGTTTAAATAATGGCCCCTAAATCATATATGCAGGTCCTAATCCCCCAGGACCTGTGAATATGACCTTATTTGGAAATAGGATCTTCGTGGATGTAGTTAAGGGAAGGATCTTGAGAAGAGATCATCTGGAATTAGAGTGAACCCTGAATCCAATCTTAGAGGTCCTCATAAGAGACAAAAGGAGACACAGAGTAGAAGGCAATGTGAAGGTGGACGCAGATACTGGAGTGTTGTGTCTACGAGCCAGGGAACCCTGCAGATGGCCGGTCACACCAGAAGCCAGGAGGCGGGCATGGGATGGATGGGACCAGCCCTGCTGATACCCTGATTTTGGGCTTCTGGCCTCCACAGCTGTGAGAGAATAGACTTCTGTCGTTTTAAGCCCCCGAGCTTGGGGGGGCTATCTCAACTTCCCACAGCCCTGGGAAATGAACTTACTGCCTGTGGTCAGCACATTTGACTCTGGCTGCTGATTTTTGTTGGATTTGTCTCCCATCACTGGCACATTACAATAATTTTGTTAGGGGGCACCTGGGTGGCTCAGTCAGTTAAGCGTCTGCCTTTGGGTCAGATCATGATCTCAGGGTCCTGGGTTCAAGCCCTGAGTTGGGGGGTCCCCTGCTCAGCGGGGAGTCTGGTTCTCCTTCTCCCTCTTCCTCTCCCCCACACTCATGCATGCTCGCTCTCTCTCTCTCTCTCTCTCAAATAAATTAAATCTTAAATAATAATAATGATTTTGTTAACTATTCTTCTTTCTTATGTGTATCTGTCTTGTCCCTTGATAGGACAAGATTCCACAGAGGTCTTCTTCTATGGAGAAGGAAGACTTCTCCAGTGGGGCTATTGCCCTCTCCCACTTGTCCCTGCCTTCGCCTCCTGCCTTGGGTTTCTTGAGTGGTGGACAGATGGGTGGATACACAGATGACCCTGGGCTCCCGCCGGGCTTCAGGGCCCATAGGCCATACTCACCCGGGAGGACAGTCCGTTGGTAAGTCCATTAGCACTCCTCCTCACCACCCTTGATGGAGTCACCTCTTCATCAGTGGGTGACTTTGTCCGAGGAGGCACAATGCCAACTGTAGGGAGACAGAACAGCCAGTGGGCCTTCTGGAGAGCGGCAGAGCAGGGGGACAGGGAAGCCTGCTTCCCTGAGGAGGCTGAGTCCCACCTGTGGCAGAGAGGAAAGGCCCAGGATGGGTGGGCATTCGCTCTCTTTGGTTGTGAGAGCCCCTGTCTGGGCTCCTGACACTTGGCCTTCCTTCTAGGGGAGGATGGGACAGGAAGTACCTTTGTTGAGAGCTGCCTGCTTCTCTGCCTCCACCTCTTGCCTGGTGGGCACAAGGCTGATGTCTCTAGTGGTGTCCAGGGGTGATGTCTGGTAGGGGTCTTTCTTGCTCTGCTCATAGCTTGCCTTGGGCTGGGGGTAGAAACGAGAAGATGGTCAATGCTATAGGGACTGCTGGGAATTTGGCACTCAGGGATGTTTCTTTGCTTTGCAATGGTTGGAGCATAAACACAGGACGAGAAAACTCTAAGTGTGCCAGCTGGGAAGTGGGTAGGGACGCAATGGAGCCTCCCACCCATGCCACCTTAAGGCTGGCCAATGCTGGGTCATCTTGGGAAGTGAGCGCTCAGGGCTTCCAGGAGGCTCTCAGCTGAGGCCCAGCAGAGAGGCCCCTCAACCTGACCAGTCCTCTTGGCAAGTGCCAAGCAGCACAGACTTGCTGTAAGCCGGAGAGGAGGAACGCTGGAGAAGGCTACAAGGCCAAGGATCTCTGAGGATTCTGTTGGGAACTCACCCAAAACTTGAGCAAAAGAGCCAGCTGGGCTTTGGTACCGAGATTCTGGGGGACAGAGAAGTACATTTAGCTTGAGGGCTTGCAGAATCATGAGGTTAGAGGGGGCCTCCGACACCACTGGCAGCCCCCTGTGCTCCCATAGTGCAGCTAAAGAGTCTGGCCTCAGCGAGGGACAGTTGAAAAGCCTGGGCCAGAGGCTGGAAACACCAGCCAGAGTCCAGTGAGAGAGCGTGGGTAAGCCCCACCGCCTCCCCTCGCCTGGAAAGCCTGCTCTGCCCTGCTCTCTCGGCAGCGCCTCGGGGGCTGTGCGGATCCCAGCAGCTGAGATGGATGAGAATCTTCCCAGTTTTAGACACAGGACTACTCACCAAGCAACCTCTTCCCTAACCACCTGCCTCCCGGGGAGGCAGATCAGGGCCTGTATCCTTACACGCCAGGGCCGAGAACACCCAGGAGGACACAGGCAAGGCAGAGAGAGAGAGAGACAGCGTGGAAGGACCGGGGTCTGAGGTGGACAGGAAGGGATCGGAATGGCACCAGTAGCCGCGGGGACCTCAATTTTCCTTGCCGGCGCGTGCTGGTGGGCAGTGGGGCACACCGCCACTCGAGTCGGGGGCTGCCCTGGACCCTGGGCGTGGTGACACTCATTTCCCCTCCGTCCCCAGAGAGCCAGATGGGGACTCCGCCACCCCGGTCCTCACCCCGGAGTCCGACTGGATGGCTGCAGGGAAGTTCATAGTGCAACAGGGACAAAGTGGCTCTGTGTCCTGCCCTGCCCCTTGCCGGGCCCTTTGCCCCACTCCCTCCGCCCCTGCCCTCCAGGACCCAAGGGTGCTGGGTACCTGACCCCTGGCTGGCTCGCCACTGCGGTGCCAGGAAGGGGAGCTGGGGGGTGGCCAGAAGCGGCTCTCGCTAGGGAGTGGCGGCACATTTGGAGGAGACTCCAGGGGGACGTAGGCTTTGGGGAGGGGGGGCCGTGGCGGGCCAGGCTCCTGAGGCAGAGAGAAGCCAGAGCATTAGGAGGAAGGACAGCAGCCACTGTGAGAGCAGGAGAGAAGAGCATTAGCAAGGGACAGACGACATCATGGGGACCTGCGGGGGCCCTAGACCCCCCCAACTCCCACCTGCAGCCTGGGGGTGGGGAGCTGTAGCTCTGGAGGGGGCTCAGCCTGGCCGCGAAGGCCCTCCTTGGCTCAGCCCCACCTGGCACTGTGCTCCATGTTCCCCAAAATTCTCCTCCAGGCTCCCTGCTCCTTGCCTCACCATCCCCCAGGGCATATTCGTACCCTGTGTCTGTGCTTCTGCTACCTCTCCCGTCTGTGATGCAACCCCCTGTCCCCCTCACTCCCCTCCCATCTGTGATGTGTCCCCCCTCACTCCTCTCCTGCCCCAAAGCTTAATAGTCCAGTGAAAGCTCCACCGTCTCTTTGGAACATCAGGGCTTTTACAGTCAGTCCTGAGACACACACCGCCGAGTTCCAGAGGCCGGCCGTAGCCTACAAGTCAGTCCTGGTACCCAGTGGACGCTGGGATCCCCAAGAGAAGGGCCCTGGGCACGCACATGTACGTTTCTGAGAGGGCCTCAGCTCATCCGTCACTCCCTGTAGACACCTGTTGATTGCCCAGCTCGGAAGCTGCTCCTCACGCCCACTCTCAACCCTCTCACACGCTGGAACAACCCTGGATTGACATTCCCACTAAGCGTTGACTGTATATTTGTTAACCGAGACAGACCTCCCTGGAAGGGAGCTAAAGATGACAAATGCAGATGAGAGCAAGTAAAGGAAGAATCTGGAAGGAAGTTCACCACGCTGGGTGCAAGAACGCCCCTGTTGCGGACAGGAAGCTGAAGCAGTAGGACAGGAGGCCTCCGGGGCAGAGCTGGGTGCAGTCTGTGTCCTTCGGGCTGATGAGGACTGAATCCTCCCTCCCCCACCTACCTTCTACTTCATTTCCTCAGCTTACCTCACTGGACCCAGGCTTGGTGGGGGACCCCTGTGAGCCGGACACCAGAGAAAAGGGGCTCAGGGGGCTGGTGAGACTGGCGGAGCTGAGAGGGCTGGCGGGGCTGTTGGAGTTGTAGGTGGCCGTGGGGCCGAGTCCTCCTGGGGGCAAGCAGAGAGGAGAGATGAGGGATGGGCAGGGTAGGGGTGTGGCCTGGCATGTGGGTGGGCTCCAGAGGTGGAGGAGGCAGGGGAGGATCCAGGGACGTGCGTGCGAGGGAGGCCTCAGGGCCACGGGCCTGCCCAAGGCTGGGGCCGGGATGCAGGCTGGAGGTGGGGAAGCAGGCTGGGCAGGGGTTAGATAACAGATGGAAAGGACACTGTTGCCCCTGAGATGTCGAAGAAAGCCAACACCAAGTCCTAGGGCCTCAGGAGGACACTAAGGTAGTGGCTTCAGATCCCCACCTGGCCCATGGGCTTGGGGAGCCGGTGGGGCACAGGTGCTCTTTGACCTTTTCTGGGGTGGAATCGAGACCATCAGGGTCAAGTGTCTCTGAGTGGCATGTCCGGTGTGTCCTGGGAGGAGGGGGAGGAATAAGGGAGTCCTACCTACCATCCCGGGGGAACATTCTGGAGGCCCTGACTAGCTCTGGGGACAGTGTGAGGGCCTGAAGAGGTTTGAGCTGACAGATGTGGGAGGGAAGCCAGAGACAGCAGAGAGTTTCTGGTGAGCCCTTCAGGCGGCGAAGGCAGCACCCACCTCTGTGTTTGGCTGTGTCTGTGCCCCGGGATGGGTTATTCTTCCTCAGCCCCTCCATCACGTCCTGGATCCTCCAGATCTCCTTCTGGATTTGCCGGTTGAGCACCTCATTCTGGAACCGCACAAGAGCAGGTCAAGGAAAGTGGCTTCGGGGACTGCCCCAGCCTTCTCCCTGCGTCCCTTTGGGCCAGCAGTAGGCAGGAGCCTTGTGTGCGTGCACGTGCAAGCGCGCAGCTGCATCCTTAGCGTCCCCGGAAGATCAGGGTGCTCCTGCAGCCAATGCCCCCCTTGGGGGACTCTTTTTTTTTTAATTTTTATTTATTTATGATAGTCACACACAGAGAGAGAGAGAGAGAGAGAGGCAGAGACACAGGCAGAGGGAGAAGCAGGCTCCATGCACCGGGAGCCCGACGTGGGATTCGATCCCGGGTCTCCAGGATCGCGCCCTGGGCCAAAGGCAGGCGCCAAACCGCTGCGCCACCCAGGGATCCCTCTTGGGGGACTCTTAATGGTCTCCTGTTGTCATGGGCAAGGGTTTCCAATTTACTAATGTTCTTTCTATCCAAACGGCCCTTTTGAAATACTGACACCCAATGTATGAATGCCTGAGTAGTCATGGATTATGTTGGGTTAGAGTTTTCATTCTTTGAAAAATCACTGCTGCTGCTTATTGAGCACCCGCACCCCACTCTCACCCCACCTGCCGGGCAGCACGCGGAGGGCTCTGCATACACTAACTCCTTTCAGCTGTACAAGGACTCTGTGTGGCTCAGGCAGCAAGTGTCCCGACTTGGGAGATGAAGAGACTTGTGCCCAAGACCCTGTGTGAGTAAGCAGCGCGACCACCATCTGTGTCTGGAGGTTTGTCTCAAGAGCTGGTGCCCTTGACCACGGTGCTTTCCTATCTCCTGAAATGTGCATGTTGGAAGTCAGGCTTGCCCACAGCTCATGGAGGCTTCGGTGCTCAGGACCTGGAGCCCCTCCCCTCCCCCTCCCCAAACCAGCTACGAGGCTGGGGGGCGGGGGGGCGGGGAGTTTCGTCACCCGGAGGAAACCAGGGGAACGGGGGCATGACCTGCATCAGATGGACAGGGCTCGCAAAGCTGGCCAGCTAGAGAAGACGCAGAGTCGGGACAACAGGAATGTCCTAGGGTCAGTATGTGCCTTGCCTCGGAGCAGAGTGTTTTTAACCTGGCCCTGGAAGGAAAGCGCTTTCCTATCATAAAGGTCCTGAGCCGCTGGCTCCCGTAGGGCCTACTGCTTCTGGGGTCACGAGAGATAGCTGCACCTATATACTCACACCTACACCTGCATGTGATCTAAACCCGCATCCAGACCTACATCTGTATCTGTATGGACGTGTTAAATCCTTGCGGTCATCAGGTATGTCTAACCTAGCTCTCTCATGTTTCCCTTTACTCCGTCCTCATGATTTGATGCAACTAAAGAAAGATCCACATCATCTCCATCCTGAAAGCATCTGTTTTACGTGGCTCTGAACCTTGTCTTTTGTCTCAGGACTGACTCCCTGTCTCAAGTCTCTGAGATCTCTGAAGCAAGAAAGGAAGCCACTTGGGTCTCTTTTGGCCCAAGGAGAAGGGAAGGCACACTCACCCCTCCTGCCCCAGGGCCCTCTTTACCTGAACGTCCAAATTGAGCTGTTCCCAGAGGTCATCGTGCAGAGCAGAGACCTCTGACTCCAGGCTCTCATACTCTATGGTACTGTTCGTCAGGGCCTGCAGCGGGAAGTGGGCTTACTGAGAGGATGGCCGTTCCCAAGGCCTTCCTTCCTGCCCCGCGCTGGGGCCCAGGGACCTGGGGTCTGGCAGGGCTGAGGAAGAGGGCACACAGGGACAGGAGGAAGGCCCAGGGCTGAGACATTCTGATGAGAGCCCAACACTGGCCTTACAAGAGATGCAGTGGCCCATCCAACTGCAGGCCGAAGCAGAGAAACCAGAATCCTCTCCAGATGTGGGCGTAGGCCCAAAGGGGATCAGACCATGTCCCCCCCCGCCCCTCCTGTTCTCTCCAGACTGGGTGACACAAAGCGGAGAGCACAAAGAGAGAAAACCCAGAGAGGTTTGCTCCCTGGGTTTTAGAGACTTTCCTCCCTTCTGGGCCATGTCTTCCTGGGCCTTTTGCTGCTGCACCCCAGAACTACCGTCCAAGCAGCCTGTCCTGCAGGGTCTGCCCTGTGTCCACAGCACATGACCGGGCCAGCAGCACTACCGTCGGCGTCCTCGTTCTCCAGGGGAGAGGACAGAGGGAGGCAGCAAAGCTGTGAAAGCAGCCGAGGAGATAAGGAGCCCTGGACCTCACACTGCCCTGAACGAATCCCAGTGCAGGCACCGTTTGTGGAAAATAAGCCCGTTTCCTTGGCAGAGACTCTGTGGAGCGAGCGGGCTGGCACACCTGCTGCCTATCCGCAAGACAGTGGTAAGGCCTTTTGTTCTGCCCCTTCTTGGCCAAGAGCACTGTGCTCTTGGCCCGCAGAGGAGAGTCGGAAGCAAAAACACGCGGCCCGGGAAGGGTGGTTCTGTCCAGGCGTGACCTCGCTGATCTGGCAGGGGGATGGAGGGGTGGGGGGGTAGGGCGTGAGGGTGGGGGGGGGGTGCAGGGAGCCTGCTCCCAGTTACCTACCGTGGTGGCCTGGGACAGCTCCACCCGAATGTTGATGAGCTGGTTCTGCAGGGACTCCTTCTTGTGCAGCAACTTCTCCGGGTAGGCAGGCTGGTTTCCAAACATCTCCAGTTCCTGGTGGGTCCCCATCAAGGCACTTTCCAGGCTCTCCTGGAGAAAGGCAGGGGAAATGGCTGTAAGCCGCCCTGCTGACTCCTCTCTGGGACTCTAAGCAGCAGAGGCCTGAGTCCCCACAATTCAACTGGCAACCTCGGCAACCTCATGGAGTCGGCCCTCACTGGCAAGGGCCCACGGAAGAGCTTCAGCACTTCAGGTTCAGGGCAAGGCAGAAGACAAGGTTTTCTCAGCCTAGGGTGGAGACGGCACCCCCACACCTCTCCATGCCAGCCTACCCACGTGCCCCCAAGCCCAGGCGACCCCCGGCTCTCACCTTCTCAGCTCGGAGCTGCTGCACCAGCCGGTCCTGTTCCCTCACCACCTTGTTCTGCTCACACAATTTGCCCAGCAGCTTCTGGGGGCCCGAGGGGGTGGGGAGGAAGGGAGGGAGAGAGAAGGGGGTAAAGGACATGGTTTGATGGGGGCCTGGGACTTGGGTTAGACGGGCCTGGCCTCTGGATACCACCTCCTTTCCCTCCTGCTGAGGAACCCTAGACCTTCTTCGCCTTGGCCTTGCAGGCTCCTGGGAACAGGAATATGGTCTTCACCTTGGGAGACTCCCGTCTCCCAAGGACCTACTGGGAGGGGAGATATGCTTATTCTCTGAGAAAGTGAGTCAGCCTGAGAGGGGAGTTAAATGTTGAGCTCCTGCATTACCTTCCTCCTGGGGGTTCCAGTCCCCAGGGTTGAGGAGATAATGCGGCCTCACTGCCTAGGCCTCCCAGGTGGGCATGGATTAGAGGAGTACACGGGGTGTCTGTCTGAACAAGCAGTCTTAGGAAAATCAGTGGACAACAGAGACTGGTTCCCCAGGCTCCCAGGACTCTGTTCTCCCTTCCTTCCAGGGTCTCAGGATGGCTGACGCTTGGGACCCTCCTGAGGTCTGGCCCTGGATGGAAACCCTCCCAGACCCACTGGGCAGGTCCACCACTCAGGCAAGACCAGTTGTGATGGGGAGGAGGCATGTGAGGCCTAACTTCTCTTCTGGAAAGACTTAATGTTTTCCAACATCCACACAGGTATTTATGTCATTCCTCAAATACCCCCGTGGCTCCTTTCTACTGAGCCACATCTCGTCTTCTGGGCCTTTTAACTTCAAGGTGCAGCTCAGATGCTACCTGCTTTGTCTCTGAGCTACCAGCCCGCATGGTCGCACTGCCCTGCACTCCTGCAGAACCCACTGTCAATCCCTTTAGTACATGGATCATATGTTGCCACCTGCTGCCACCTGGCATTTCCTGCTACCCTGATGCTCCCTGAGGCCAGGGGCAGGGCTGTGCTCTTCCCTCCAGCTGCCGAGGGACTACTGCCACGCTGGGCGGAGAGCAGCCTGGCTGGCACACCTCCTAACACAGTCCGTGTTCCTGTAATAAGCAGATCCCACTACTGTCGACAACGTGGCCCAGGGCTCAGTAGGGCAACACACGCAGCCAGCATGGGAGGCAGGGTTAAGGATGAGAAGAGAAGGGACATGAGGACGTGGCAGGCAGAATGTTGTCTTCATGAGACAGGACATGGGTCAGAGGGATTGAAGAGCCACCGGAAGGACAGAGATGAAGGCAGGAAAAGCCCCAGCGGAGGAGAGCAAGGATGAGACCACAGCGGGAGGGCTGGGGAGGAGGGAGGAGCAGGAGAGCTGCTCTTACATCTGTATCTTGCTCGTTTAACTTGTAAGTGTGGAGGCCGTCCCGGAACACTTCTGGGTATGGAGGGACCTGCGGGAACATGAGGCCGGTTACAGCAGTAGGGGGACAGTTAGGGCACGTGAGGACAGGAAACCAGACAGCCCTTGCTCCGTCAGAGACTGTAGTCCCTCTGCTCTGGTAGCTTCCATTCCCAGCACCTACGCTCATTCTTTGTCCCTAGCTGGGAAGCCTGCCGTGGCCCCGGCTAGGTTCTTCCCCAACACTTATGCTGCTGGAGAGAGATGCTTCTCAGCAAATACTCAGGATCTCCTCTCTCTTCCCAAAGCTCTAGACCTATGTCGAGAGGGAGTCCGGGGGTATAGTTATCCCAGATGGCTTACTGGGAGCAACCATGAGAACACCAGTTACCCCTTGGCTGGTTTTGAGGATGAGACACAGGGAAATGGGATGAACACCAGGAACATCTGAGAATGATTATTCGGGTGGACTGCACACCAGTCGCAGGACTCGTTCTTAAACCAGAAGTACTTCTGGGTCCAGCAAATGCTGCCCACCCTTGGTGATACGTCTGCTAACCACAGGACATTCTATACAACTGGGGCACTGGATGGTTCCCTGTGCCCTTGACCCCAAAGACGTCTGTTAAGAAGATACCAAATATGAAACAAATCCTGGACATCAGAAAGCAGATTTGCGATCCCTGGCATGGTGTGGCATGTCGGTACTGGCTGTTTTGATGGTTTGAGAAATGGGCCTTGGGTTTACCCATGAACATGAAGAATGGAGGAGACACAGTGGGACTGGATAGAGGAGGGGACCAGGCGGGGCCTGGGAGATGAGGCCTGGTGGATGAGCAGGTTGGGCAGAGCAAGCCCCAACCCAAATGGCTTGACTTGACCATGCACAAGCAGCTGAAATGGTGCTGACAGGGACCATGCTGCCAGGCAGAGGTCTTACTTGCATGAAGATCTGGGCCCTGGGGGAGGAGTTCTCCACCATTCGGTTCACCATACTGATGAGAGTCTCGCTCTCACTCATCTGCAGCAGAGGAAGGAATGGACGATTCAAACTCGGACCCCCACGGATCTATCTCCCCATCTCCCGCCTGGGCTCACTTCCCGGAAATAGGAAAGGGCAGCTCTTCCTGGGGTCTCCAGCTCCCTCTGCTCAGCCTTACCCATTGCTCACCCCTTGTGAACCCAGTCCCAGGACCAGCACCAATGGTGTCCTGAGGAAAGGCCACAGAAGGGGCCTAGGGGCTGCTGTGCCCTCTCTCGTGGCTCTGAAGAGACCCTTGCCCAGTGACACTTCCGCTGAATGCCCTAGAGGTGTGGGTCTCATCCCCACCGACCAAGGTCAACTCCCTGCCCCAGCTCTCTTTCCTCGCACTGCTTCGGTTAAAGACCACACCGGCAGTTGGGAAACCCATCTCCCCAAATTTGGACTAAATGAAACAGCTGAGAAAGAAAACCTGGGGCTGCTCTTTGGATGGGCCTTCGCAGAGAGGTAGGCACAGCTCTCTCTCCCCAACCCCTGCCCACCTCTTGGCTCTAGAGTAGAAAGGATTGCTAAACACGGTTTCCAGAGCTGGGCTGGTAGCATCCATGCCGATCTTGGATGACGCTAGGGAGCAAATAAGGAGGCCAAAACAAGCAAGCCATGTTAAAGGGACACCAGATACCGGAGCACTGCTCTCCAACATGTTATCTTTGTGTTTCAAGGATCGTTAGGAACATGGGAAGGGGAAAGACTATTTGCCAAACGAAATAGAAAGAGAGATGGGGGGAAAAAAAAAAGAAAGAGAGAGAGAGAGATGGGGAAGGGCAGGATGGGGGCGGGGGAGGAAGGGAGGGAGGACAAGTCAAACAAATCAACTAGAGATGCCATCACTGGTTCCACCGTGACAGCATCAAAAAGTGAATAGATTAGGGAGTGTCCTTGGCTATGTCCCTTTAACTCAACTGACCTGCAGGAGAGGGTAGCAGAAGACAAGAGGGAAGTTGTATGGAAAAAGCTTTTTAGGAAGAGGAAGTGAGTGGGGGAAGAGATAGAGCCACCTTAGGGCAGAGCCTCTGGGGTCCTAGTTCAGGGGGCCCTCAGTTTTTGGCTCTTATCTCCCCAATGTTTGTTGGGCCCACGCATACTTTCCTCTTACTGCTTTAGGGGGCAACCCAAAGGCGGCCTTGCCTCTGTGTGTTGTGGACAGGCCAGGGGCACTCAGCCACCCCCATGTGCACGGTCCACTGCATTTTGAAAGGCTTTCCTCAGATCTGATCTCTTTGTTGCCTCTTTAGCCCATTTGGAATGTTCTTCCTATGACATAAGTGTCATTTACAAGGCTTCCCAAAGAACAGTTGTGGTAGGAGGCTGAGTGCATGTAAAAGAGCTAAGTCAACAGGACGTCAGCCACATTTTCTGTAAGGATCTGAACTCGGGTGAGTCCCTATCTTCTTGGAGCCCCACATACATGAGATCATGTTCATTGTATATGGGGTGTGTATGCGTGGGGTACGTGTGACTGTAGACGGTGTGTGTATATGTGTTTGCTGCCTGTGTGCCACGCCTGTATCCTGTGTGTGTGTGTGTGTGTGTGTGGTGTCTGTGGAGGACAGGGCACACCTGCTAATACATCAGGCTTTGAGTGGGCACAGAAGGTCCAGGCTTTTCCCGGACACCCACGGGTCTCACTTCTCGCTCAACCAGTGGATGTGAAGCAATAAAGGAGGAAAGCAAGACTGTTCTCACCCTGGCCTGCTCCCATTCACACTGTGCCTTGGGGATCTTTCAGCCCAGGTGGGCTTTGCCCCTAGGATTCCTGTGTGTCACCTCTGTCTGCCCAAAATCTCAGATCTTATGAGAAAGCACCTAGCACGGTGCCTTATACATCACAAAGGTGCCCAATTAATATTTTAAATTGAGTTTCAGAAGAAGAGGAATCAAATAGTCACAGCAGCGCTAGCACTCCTCACCACTGCCTGCCACAGTGCTCTGACGCACCCTCCCTCTTACTTGATCCTCTAGCCACTCTGGGAGGCAAGAAAGGCAGGTTCTACAATGTCCATTTTATGATTGAGAAAACAAAGGCCCAGAGAGATGAAGCAACATTTTGAAGTTAAAACACACACACACACACACACACACACACACACACACACACCAAAAAAAAAAACCAACAAAAACCATTGTAAATGGCAGAGCTCAGACTAGTCCACATTCTGGACTTTTTTTTTTTTTTTTCTTTTTTAAAGTAGGCTCCAGGGCCATCATAGAGCCCAACATGGGGTTTGAACTCATGACCCTGAGATCAAGACCTGAGCTGAGATCAAGAGTCAGACACTTCACCAACTGAGCCACCCAGATGCCCCTGGACTATTACCATATAAAACTCCCTTTTAAGATTATTGCCCTTTATCTAGAGAAGGTCCTCTGAAGAGATTTCTGAAGCTTGCAGCCTAAGGTCCTAGCCTCTTCATGAGGGCAGAGGCTCCAGGACGGGCTCTGCCGTGGCACTGAACGCTGGCACCGCCAGGCACTATAGGGGCTACATAAAGGAAAGCCTGCCCAGGAGCCAAGTCCACTCAGCCCTGCTCCTGACTACTCCGGGCACTGCAGACTCTGCTTCCTGTAGGGCCGAGCTGGTGCTTCCCAGCACTGGTCTGAGACGGCATCCTGAGACTCCTCGCCACGTGGAGTGTTCCAGTCCAGTGGTGCGGATACCGCATGATGCCTCTAGAACTAAAGTCAAGGTCCACGAGGGCTGGAAGCTGTCCCTGCTGATTAAACTGTGGATATCAGCGCTTTCCAGGGCCCAAGGCCTTCTATGAGGATGATCCCACCAAAGCCTGGAGGCCTGTTACGTGACATATGACTTGGGTCTAGAACCACCAGCAGTTCTAGCAATAGCCTCAGATTTCAACTTGAAATCCTTCTGCAGCTTTAAGAGTATAAATTGGTCCTGATGAGGTGTGACTCCTGCGTCTTCATATATTAGACAGCTCAGCTCGCAGTCACAGTCCAAGCTCCGTTACTCAGTGGCTGTGTGTCCTTGGCATGTCACTTAACCTCTCTGTTTCTTTCGTCTTATCAGCTCTAAAAGGGGGATAACAACAGTTCCCACCCTGCAGGGTTGTGATAAAAGATCAAATGCTTTAGGATCCATAAGGAGCTCAGCAACAGTATGAGGCACAGGGAAAGCAGCCCGTTGCGGTGGCTGCTGCCATTACTACTTCCACGGCTGTAATTTTCGCCACCTTGGGTCACCTCCACTGGGCCACGCTGGTGATGCCCAGTTCCCGTGTGATTTGTAGCACGGATCTGGACACGGGAGTCTGCGTTTTTACAGCTGCGCAGCATCCTGACCTCCCAGTGTTTCTCGACACAGTGGCAGAACCCCCCATTTCAAAAGACAAGGAAACCAATGCTTAGAGCCTGGAGCCAGGTCTCCGCAGCCAGTTTCTTATCTTTGGAACATCTTCCAGAAGAAATGAGGTTGCTAACACTCTCCCTGTCTACCAGGCGTTATTCTCGAGAACGCACGCCCCGGATGCCAAAGAGCTTGGCAGAGGAGCTAACAAATGTATGGAACTCATGTAATTAAAACCAAACAAAACCCAAACCATCCTAGGGCAAGTCTGTAGTCCTCAGTTTACAAACTGCGGAGTTGAACAACCAGTGAACGAGGACAGATCATCTCCCAGCTTTAGGCAGCACTGAATCCCTAGCATTTTAGGACCAGACTGGCTGCTCACCCCCCCCCCCCTTCCACAGCCTCTGCCACTCTCTCCAGCAGAAATGCAAATTCCCGCCTGCCATCCCTTCCCCCAGCTCCATCTGGCCTGAACAAATAGGAGGTGGCATTCATTATTCATGGGGTCATTTCCTATTCTCCTTTTCCCCAGGAAAATCCCAGCTGCCCTAAAGGGTTTTGAGGAGAAAGCGTGTGAAGGCGCAAACCAAAATATAAGCCACTTTGTTGTGTCCTGGTGGTGCCAACAAAGGCTGTCAAACGGATGGAAGGTGAGGACGTGAGGAGGAGCAGGGAGACACGACAGGAGGGCAGGGGGATGGCGAGGGCGCACCAGCTCTGCCTACCTGCTGATCCAAATACTCTAGGTTTCTTTGCAACTGAAGGTCTAAAAGTTCATCCTACCCGGAGCCAGAGACCCAACGGCAACACAAACAAACAGGAACAAGACAACAACAGAAAACAATAAAAAGGAAGCAAAGCAGTTAAGAGTTAGCTGGGGGGGCAAGGTCAAAGAGGGGCCTCAGTCTGCCCTCAAGGAGTTCTGGGGAGGGACAGGGGTGAAGCTGGGGGCATGTCTCAAGATGTCTCAGCTCCGGGGCTCCTGGGGCTCCTGGTCCGTCTGGCCCTCTGCTGGGAAAGGGAAGCACCACGGAAACAAACTGGTTGGCCCACCCTAGCAGCTCCCGAGTTTTCGGGAAGAATCCATCGTTTCTAGATGGGTGCATGTGCTGCATGTCAGGGCTAGAGACTGGACAGAGAAGGATCAAAGGGAAGAAAGAAAGGGAAGGGCCCCTGCCATGCCTGCAGAGGCTCCTCCGTCCTGGCCTCCTGGGGCTAGATGGGGACAGGGGTCTGCAACAGGCCTTCAGGGACAGGGACTCTGCCTGTCAGTTCCAGTGGCCCTCACCAACCTCCCAGGTGGAGCATCTGCATCTGGTTCTCCAGGTGGAGACAAAAGTCCTCTGGAGAACCAATTCCAGGGAGAGACAAGTAGAAAGCAGGGAGAAAAGAAGGGACAGACATAATAATATGGAAAATTTTTTCTTCCTTAATCACACCGTCACTTGTCTCTTTCCCCAAAAGCAACACTCCAGGCAAGGACAGACTTGGAGAGAATGCCTGTTATTGGACACTCAGGCCTGATTTTTCTTCCCAGTGCATAATCCAAACCCTCGACCAGGCCCCTCTGCATGCCTGGCAGGAAGGTTTTCTGGGGTCTGGAGGGTCAGGACATCAGATGCCTCCAGATCTCGTCCCTGCTCCTCTATCTCATATCACAGGGATGGGGTACCTGGCATCAAACTCTGCATTGGTGTCACAGTCCTGGCCAGGAGGGAGGAGGTATCCAGAGGCTGCTAAAAACCAGGAGGGGCAGGCATGAGGCACAGAGTATCCCTGCGGCTGCCCTACTTTGGCCCCACCAGGGGAGGAGAGGTTCTGCGGGGGGTGGGTGGGAGGAGAGGACGTACCATCTTATCGTGGACCGTAGGGGATGGTGGGTAGTTGTAGGGGAACAGTCCTGCAGGGACTGGCCGCCTGTCTCCCAGGTAATCATACTGGAAGAGAAAGGGAATTGGAGAGGTGAGGGGGTCCAGCTGGGACACAGACTTCCCCACCAACTGAAGTTCAAGGTTAGGGACGTTTGTATCCTGTCCCAGAGCAGATGCCAAATTAAAATGGACAGCATTTATCCACTGCAGTATCCTTGCACTGACCTGTCCGGTCCTCAAGATTTGAAAAGACAGAACCCTCTCTGCCGTCTTACACAGAATTAGGGTTCCTGGCATGACCTGGGATGGGCACCAGCAGCAGTGTTCCTACTCGGGGGTCAGAGCAGATTCCCCCAAGCAGCTCTCCCACCGACAGAACTGCCAGTGGCTCCCCTGGGCATCACTGTGGCTCCTGCCACATACAGTGTGTGTCCCCAAGTCCCAGATGCCCCCACACCTCCACCTCCTCTCTGCAGATGGTAGTCGGCTTCTGGGGGATCTCAGGAGATGAGGAAGGAGGGGCAGGCTGGTGGCTCACCTTGGGGGAGCTGATGGATCGCCTCATCACATAGGCAGCAGGGTCAGCATAGATGTCCTCACTGCGAGGTGGCAGGCGCTCAAAGCGGGCACTGGGTGAGCGGACGGGGGAGTAAATGCGGGCACGGCCGTAGGAGCCCTGGCTGGGCGAGCGGGGCACTGAGTGGGAGCGGGGCTGCAGGGTCAGGCGGCGCAGGGAGCCGGAGGTGGCATCCAGCTCCTCGTAGTAGACTGGCTGCCGGGAGGGGGAGGGCCCGGGGAGCCAGACTGGGCCGTCCTGCCGCCCGTAGCCCGGGGGCTCCTTCCAGTCCCGCAGCTGGAAGGCAGGGCCGCCTCCGTTGCGGAACGAGTGTCGCTTGTCCTCCAGGGCCCAGGGTGGGCTGACCCGATCGTAGGCCGGCATGGAGCAGATGCTGTCCGGCCGCACCCCTGGGGGGTAGTACTGGTAATCATCTGGATACTGGGACGAGTAGGGGCCGTAATATTCAGGGACCCTGCGGGACACAGGGTAGAACCTAGAGGGACTGAGAGGGAAGGCAGACAAAATGAGCGCAACCCCTGCCCCTCCCTGTGCCCCAGCCCCACCTTCAGGTTCTCAGCCTAAAGAGGGCATGACCAGGTGATGGTGCCCCACGCTGACCCTGGGAGCCCCCAAAGCCGCCCCCCCCCCACTGCCTGAGCACTGAGCCCAGCTGCCAGGGGCACAGGGGAAGCTCCCTTGAAGCTTCCTCCCTCAACCAGCAACCTGAGGCTAGAAATGGAAATTTCACATTCAAAGCTTCCATCTCTGTCTTTATAAAATGAAATATCCCTGGGGAAGAGCTTTAAGCCTTATTAGCTATCTCTATCCCAGCATGAACCAATGCATCAGATCCTTTCCAGAGAGGTGAGCAGCAGAAAGAACGCGGGTGTATGAGGCACCTGGGGAGGGCGAGAGAGGAGGGACAAGAGGGCAGTTCCCTGGTTTGAGGTTCTTGTCATGGACAGGACCAGGTTGTTTCTGGGACTCATCCCAAGTGAGGTGCTCTCCCCAGGGCAGGCCACAGGCACCAGGGCCCCAAGCGGTGAGCAGCCTTCCTGTGTCCATCAGGTGTGGTCCGGGGAGCTGCCTACACCCACAGGGAAGGAGCAGCAGCCCCGCTTGCCCTGATGAATGCCATCGGGCCCAAAGAAGGCTTTGCAATATTTGAAAGCCCATCACTGGACAAGGAGCAAATCGGTCTAAAAGGCAGAACCAGGATTGGTGAGTGGCAACATTTTGTGTCTCCCCCCCCATTTTTTTTTTAAGATTTTATTTATTTATTCATGAGAGACCCAGATTGAGAGAGGCAGAGACACAGGCAGAGGGAGAAGCAGGCTCCACGCAGGGAGCCCGACGTGGGACTCGATCCCGGGTCTCCAGGATCAGGCCCTGGACTGAAGGCGGCGCTAAACCGCCGAGCCACCGGGGCTGCCCCTCTTTTCCCTTTTTGAACTGCATATAAAGGCTCTTGAGCAATTAGAGCTGTTCAAAAATGGGGTGAGTTGGCTTGGGGGTCAGTGAGGCTTGTGGTGGTAGAAACAATGAAACAGAAGATGTGGGGGTGGGAAGCATGGATGCCTATCTGGCTGGAAGAACTCGAAAGCCCCTCCCAGCGAGTGCCTGCATGTCTCCTGGGCACTCAGTGCCCTCTCCCTGTCTCTGAGGAGAGCACACAGGGCAGGAATCGAGAAGGCGTCAAACTCCACAGATGGAGCTGCGGGGCAGTAGAGGATCTGGACAAGCTGGGAACCCTGGGTTTGGGGGTCTTCCTGGTATCTCAACTCAGCCTGGCTTCCAGAAGGCTTCTAGCATGGGGCTGCTGCACATGTTACTACCTGCACCCCATCAGACTCACCTCCGGAGGTCTTCGGGTGGGGGCACCCCGCGGCGCAGGTTCACCCACTGCTGAAGCTGGTTCATGGAGCTCTTGCGCTGGGCAATTTTGTCGGGGTTGGCACGTGGGGGGAAGCTCCGCTGGTGCCCCCCACTCTCTGAGTCCTGAGGCAGAAAAGCCGTGCTCCCTGGTCGGCTCGGGGAGCTATACTGCCAGCCATTGGGCTGGGCAGGCCGATCCCCTCCCCCTGGGACACTCGGGCCCTCAGGGTAAGGGCTGCCAGGCTCTGAGGCTGGTTCTGGTCCGGCTTGGATGCCGTTGGCTTTCACCAGAGGCTCACTCTTGACTTCAGGCCTTTCAGGCTTCCTCTCGGCCTTCTCGCAGCCCCGGCCGTCACCCTCCCCTCGAGTCTTGGCCTCTGGCTCGGGCTTGGGGACACTATTGTGGGACGGCTGGTGGTGGTGTTTGCTAGGTGGGATGTTCTCAGAGTCTGGCTTCTCGTGGCTGCAGGATGCCAAGGGAGATGTTAAAGGGACTCCAGCCCAGCACGGAGCTGGGTAGGGGGTTGTAGACTGGGAAAGAAGGAGCGGAGAAGGGTGGGCAGGAAGGTAGCGACGGACATGGGATTCAGTGAATTCCAATTCGTTTCCTAAATCCCCCCATTTCGCCTTCTTGCTCCAGCCTGGGCGATCACTAGAACACCCGTTCCGATCTTGCCTATGCTCAGTGGGCTAGTTTTACCCTCCACGTCTTCTCCAAGGTCTCTCTCTGCTTCCTTTTGCTGACTGCATTGGATCCAGCTTTCCAAAGCCACGGCCAACCCTAAGCTCCCCCAGCCCTGCCTCCTCTACAGCCTGCCTCCGCTCCAGCCCCCTGAGCTCCATATACACTACACAAAAGTTTCATAGCGGCCACATGACATTTCAGCTATGAGGCTTGTTACAGGTCAGCCCTCTGTCCTATGCAAGTTCTTTCAATTCAGTGAGTCCTGGGCTCCCTGCTGGCAGAATGGGTGGGTGTAGGAGTCCCTCCCATGGCAGGACTGTGGGATCAAACAGAGCAGGCGCCAGGTGTTGCCTCAAACAACCTCGGCATAGAGATGTGCTGGTTCCCTTCTCCAGAATAAGCTTCTTCCAGGACTGACTCCATCAGAACATAAGCTCCACGAGGTGGGAGCATGTCGACTTGTCTTCCCTTGTTTGCCTAGCGCCCGACACAGTGCCTTACACATATCTATTTACAGTAAATGTTTATGAATGAAATGAGCGAACTTCTGGAAGTGCGCCCCTCCACTGAAGCGAAGATGGAATCTCGTGACCGCGTTTTCCCTGCGGCTGCCCAAATCCAACATCTTCAGGCATCCTTGTTGCAACACTGCCTGGTAAACACTTCTAAGACACTAAAATAGACTTGGAGTCTACACCATAAAACCTCCTTCTTCTGGATGCTTGTTTACATCTACCTTGAGGTAGGTGTATGTTAACATACAAACTCCGTAAAGACAGGCCCCGAGGCTACAGGGGCGGCCGGTGGGGAAGGGGACTGGGCACCATGGGCTAAGCGTTGGCCACTCATCCACCCCGTGAGGGAGGATTCTAACTGCTGTCTTCGAGGAGGGGAAATTCAGGTTGGGAGAGGTGAAGCAGCTTACACTGCTCTCAGAGTGGGCAAGGGGCTAAGTGGGGATTTGAACCCACCCCCACCCTCTTCCAGAGGTCATGGGCTTAACGTGCACAGACAAGAATAAGCGAGTGAATGACCCTGGCCCTTGGCTCCTGGCCAGGCCCCAATGAAACCTGACTTCTCTCTTGGCCTCCAGCAGCCCAGAGAGGAGAGGAAGAGCCAGTCAGAGGAGGAGAGGCTCCAGGCTCGGAAATCACTTAGCCAGGTACCTGCTGAGAGGCAAGGAGCAGTTCATGTGTTCTCAGGTGTTCCCAGAGGTGCAAGCCAGCATGCTGGGCTCAGGAGGTCATAGAGTGGGGTGCTTCCTCACTCGTCTTTCTCTGGCACTCCTCACACCCATGCCCGGTGCCCTGTTACTTACTTGTGATGCACAGCTTGGGGCACCGACTTCTGGGCTGGGGGGATCTGTACTCGGGCAGCCTCCCCCATGGCCTGGATCCAGGCCTCCTGCTCCTCGGGGCTCTCGGCACTGAAGAAGTAGGTGCGGACCCCAGCATGCTCGGCCTGTGGGGAGAGGCAGTGCGTGGAACTGGCCCTGGCCTCATCCACCCAGCATGTAGACACCTGTAGGGAGAAGACACACACATCCACAGAACAGGTGGTCAGGCAGGCTGTTCCCTTGACCTGTAGCTCTTTCCCCACATGGAGCTCAGGAGCACAGTGAGGAGGACAGCCTCCAGCTATGCTAAGTGCTCCAGCTGGCATATGGGCTAGCTCTCTGGACACCCCCAAATGGTCCAGTAGCCAGGTAAGCTTACCTGCCCCACCTGCGGTGATTATAAACAGGAAGGACAATTACCATGCCCACTTTCCCATCAAATTCCATCTTTGATTTGAAGGGCAATTACCCAATGTCTGGGAGAGATGCCCCCCACCCCGCCCCCGGGGCACATGCCAGTCATGGCCCAGCTCGGCTTCTGAGGATCTCGTACTGTCTCTTCTGTGCAGAGAGACAGCCAGGCCTCCGTCTCCCTGCGCATGCACCGGACATGCACACTGTTAGAGCACGCTACCTAGTTGGCGGCCGCAAGCGGGTGCGGCAGGCGGGAACCCAGAAGAGAGCTCCTGTCCAGAGGAGGGGTCCTCATGCAGTCAGAAGGAGGAGAAGCAGAGAACAGGTCAACCAGACACCAGAGAGAGAGACAGAAGATGACGTGGCAGGAACGTTGAGCAGAGGGAAGTGGGGAGCCATTCAGATCACCCCTTCTACTCGCTGTCGCCATGGGGCCGCAGCACACAGCAATGTCCCACATAGCCCTCCAAGAGCGAGGAGTGGAGAGCTTGCCCCAAGGCAATGGGGGCTGTGGGCGGGAGGATTCAGGGCATCCCTGTGCTGATCTGAGCCCCGTTCCCAACCAGCTCTGCAGTTGCAAACGACCTCGGTTTTTGTTCTGGCCTGAAGTGACGTGCCTGTCTAACGGGGAGGGAAGCTCAAAGTTCTCCGGCTACAGGGAAGAGATGCTCCAGAGCTGAATTCTTTCTGGGACCTCAGTACACTCCCCCAGTGAGACTTTCGATCTCCCAGAAAAAGCAGATAGCCTGGTTTCTTCCCACTCAACATGAGAAATCCAAGGGATTAATAGTCTCAGATGTGAACCTCACTTCGGTCCCTGACCCCTCAGGTGTGAAGTCCTCAGTCTCTTAGGGTTGGAAGGAGAGAAGACGGGGCTCTCCTGACCAAGCCCCAGGGCTCTCCTAAGCAGCAGGGTCAAACCAACACCCTCCAAGTGCTTTCTCGGCTGGACCTTCACTCCACTGGACCACCGTCCCCCAGCACGTGATTCCTTTCCAACAGGCGTCGTGACCCAATGACATCCTACTTCCCCCTAAGACTTTCCTCTGGATCCTGCCAATGTCTACCCTCCAGCAGGGGGCCCAGACTGTGGGCAGCTGCAGGGAGGTGCTAACAGCTGGTGGAGCTATAAGGAGGCCTCTCAGGATTGAAACTGCACAGTGATACTGAGAGCAGGGGTCCGGGCAAGCTCTCTGGCATGGAGGCCACGGGGTGGTAGCTAAGAGAGAGACACAGGCGGGACTTGTGGGTATGACCTGGGGCTGGTGGGAGTGGGCAGCAAGTGAATCGGTTTGCTGGTGAGTGCCCTGTGTGTGAAGAACTGTCCTTTGGGCACCCGTCACGGGGACACGGATGCTCTCTTTGCACTCGAAGGGCTCGTGGTCAAGCTGGAGGACAAAACATGTCCACAAGGAAATGAGGAGAAAACAGAGGCATGAGAACAATGGTTTGCAGCAGGAGAAGACGGAGGGCCTGGGGAAGGACAGGGCAGCTGATGGGCAGCCAGAGGCGACATCAGCCTGGCACCGTGAGAGGGGGCCACAGAACTACCCCAGGGGGTGAAGTCTCCCCAGAGGCCTCATGGGGCTGGGTTAGGAAGAGGGTAAGGCGTTCAGCAGTAGGCCGGGCAGGAATAGTGCCCAAGCTCATTATTAGCCAGCCAAGGGTCTTGCTTGGTGGCCACAACAGGACAAGCCTCCCATCTTTCTCGGCTCCTCTCCTTTCCTTGGGAAAGGGCCACGGAAAAACCCACAATTGTAATCCTTTGTGTGCCACCGAGCACCACCCTCAGAGCTGGGTTTTAAAGAGGCAGTGCCCTCCTGGCGGGGGGGGGGGCAGGGGAAGGAGGAGGGGGCGGCTGGGCACATGTGGCTCAGCCACTTGGGACGCTGACAGAGTGCTGAGCCCGGCTGTGGATGTTGTCTGTGCCCAGGTCTGGAGGGGAAGGTGAGACAGGCTGTTTGGCTGTGTGGGTGCGAATGTGCATAGTTGTTGGTTAAACAACCTGTTTCTACTTCCCCAGCTAGGACCTGGCTCCCAGGAGCCAGAGTTTTATTAATTGTTCATTCTGTTCACACCTCGGGCAGACAGGACCCTAGGAGGCTAATTATGTGCCAGAGACATCCCTCCTTGTCCCCTGGAGCAGCACCTGTGTGGGCTGCCGCCTTTTTTTCCAGAACCAGGTGACTAGGTGTGAAGGACAGGAAGGGCAGAGTCTCTGAGGTCCTAGAGGCTCTGATGCTGACCTGGTGTTACCGGCAATTCCTTTCATCTCACACCATAGCTTTAGGTTTTCAGGGACGCGGATAGTGATTCTCAACTAGGGGAGGGAGGGCTGTGCACTAAGAAAATGCATAGTTGGTATCATAATTTTATATTTGGAAATGAAAAGGAGCCTATGGCCTTTGCATCATAAAATACAAAAGGGGCACGGGTATTTTTAATTGTTTTTAATGGGTCATGAATTTTTAAATGTGGAAAAACACTGGCCTGTGATGAGCCAGCTGCAAGCACATCTTTGAGGGCTGGATCCCCCGGGGGTTCCCGGGGAGTGACACTGAGCAGGCGCACGAGGGCCGTCTCCCCGCGCTCATCGTTCTCGTCAACTACAGTCTGCATGAGGTTCACATTTCTTGATTGTAATCAAACTCAACTCCTAATTTTCTCTAGAGGATGAAATCTGAGTGAGTTTGACAGGGGGTCTAGTTCCCTGGGCCCAATGTAGGGAGGATTCCTTTCTAGAAGGGATGTTAGAACCCCAGCAGCCCCCGGCCCCTGCCTCTGCTGCCAGGCCTTTGGGCAGAGGGTTCACGGGCTCAGGATGTAGTACCTCGCTCCTAGGAAAACCCGTGGTACCGCTGAAGCCCATACCTACCGGCCTAACCCGAGGGGAGCCACCCAGCTGACTCCTGAGAGAAGAGCCTCGTCTCAGCCCCACGACAGCCCGCACCAAGTCCAGGGACCGCCGCCTACTCCCTCCTTCCACTGCCACTTGGGCCTCCTTGAGGAGGCAGCTCAGGATCCTTCTCCATGCCCCACCTGCTCTAGGAGAGCGGCCCTCCCTTCCCCCCTGGCCCAGGAGAAGAAGGCCAGCTGACCTTAAAGGTGTATTTTCGGCTGATGTTGTCTGAAGGCTGCACCGCAGCCACCCGGAAGCTCAGGAGGGGGATGCTGCCCAGGATGCTCTCCTCCTTCTCATCTGCCGGGTAAAAAGGCACAGGTGAGATGCATGTGCCTGGTGAGCACGTGGGCAGAGAGGGGAGGAGTATATCGGCCCTATGATGATGAACAGCAATAGGTACTTGCTGCTCACGTACCCCATTTAAAGGGTAAGAAGGCTGAGATACAGAGAGGGTAAGTAATTCGTCCAACGTTACTTCAGCAGAGAGTGGTGGATCGGTCTTTGGACCCAAGAAGTCTGACTCCCAAGCAAGCGTTTTTTTGTTTTTTTGTTTTTGTTTTTGTTTTTTTAAGTCAACTTCACCCCTCTGTGGGGCTCAATCTTACCACCTCAAGATCAAGAGTCTCATGCTCTGCCAACTTAGCCAGGCAGGCACCTCTCCCTGGTAAACATTCTGAGCCACTCTCCTATCTATGCAGCTTCCCCCAGCAAGAAATTCCAACAGGGACACACGTAAGAGGACAATAACAGGATCGGGCATGGCAGTGTGGATAGTCCCCCTTCGGCTCTGGTGTCTCTGGGGGGCTGTGTCTGAGGTTCTCCCAGGCACCCGACAGCTTGCTCTGTCTTCTCCTGACAGGGCTCTGCCTTCCCCTATATGGCCCCTGCAGAACCTCTGAGCCCTCCAGTTCCCGCATCAGGTGAACAAGCAGGCTGCTGCATCATTCATCCTGGATCTCCAAAGGAACCTCAGGGGTGAGCTGGTCAGGACCCCAGCTGTCAGTCAGAGCCACAGAAGGTGGGAGGCGCTCTGTGGAACAGGTGGGGGGCAACTCCCCACCTCCCTGGAATAGCTCTTTCTTCCTGAGCTTGGAAACCCTGTGAGACCCTCAGTTAGGGCTCAGAAGGCTCAGGGGTTATGAACTCATGGGTTCCCCTTCTCCTCTTCATCATCACGGATACAAGATCCTTGGCTTAAGGTCCAGCTTCCTGTGCAGAGTCAGCATGGCGCCCAGAGGAAGGCTACGCTAGAGGATCAAGAGGAACCCGGGGCCAGGGACCCAGGGCTGCTTCAGGACACCTCCGATGTCCTCTGGAGGTGATGGCCTCCTGCCTGGTAGTGTCCAGGCCCATGTTTCGGGGGTCTTCTGAGGGCATCTCTCAGCAGATGGTGGCCCCCACCACAATGCCCTTCAAGCTCACAACCTTTAAGCTCCTACCCTCACGCCAGTCCCTGAGTTTCTCTTCTGCAGAGAGCCTGGCTTCCCTTCAGCTTCGGGCATACTCTGGCTCCAGCCAGCCCTGGGTCCCAGAGGCCTGGCACCAGGGCCCAGGCCTGGGCAGGTGCTTCTCCCCTAGTCTTAGGCTTTTTTATGTGACTGGACTCTGTCTCTGCAGCCCCTTCCTGGTTTCTGTTCTTGGGGTTCAGGTGGCCTACAGGTACAGCAGCATTCTGGAAGGTCACTGGTACAACCTTTGTTTGTGAAAGTTAATGATTCACAGAATGGCTCCCAGGAGGCCCAGAGAGGTCAGGGCTCTGCCATTCCCGGGGCATGGAGGAACAGAAACAGCCTCTCCTGCTACAAGACCATTTTACCCTTCTCTCCCTGTGGCCCCGCACTGGTGTGGCAGGGCTGTGGCTGTCCTCCTCCCTCACTACGTCCCTCAGCACCTCCTTGACCCAACATTGCTGTACATATTTTAAAAATAACTTCCTAGAGTCTGCGTCACCAATGTTATTAGGTCTCTCTCTCTCTCTCTCTCTCTCTCTCTCTCTCTCTCTGAGAGGCTTGGGAGAGTGAGTGTTGGGGTGCACACAGAGCGTAGAGGCTAGAGGGTTATTCATGGACTCAACACTAATTGAGCACCTACTACATGCCAGGCGCTGTTTTAGCTGTGGCTATAGCGTGAACAAAACGGAGATTTCTGCCCCCATAGGTCAGCTCAGACGGTCCAGGGGGACGGGAGGAAGAACGACACACAGGCTGGTCGGTAGGTCACCTGCTAGTAGTGACCAGGGACCTTCCACTTTTCCTTTCCTACCCCACAGCCCAGCCCAGGACTTCACCATCTATCACATGACTGTCCTGTTTGCCCGCTGTGCCCACTGTGTCCCCCATCAGGACCTAGAACTCCGCCTGAAACCTCGAGGGCTCCTGGTAAATATGGTTGAAGGTGAAGCAAGAGAGTGAGCACGTGAGTGAGCAGGCTCTGTCTTTATCCCGCCGTCATGCCCCACAGGTGCCGGAGGCTGTGGGGCATATTTGTACCCTCACCCCCCACCCCCACCCATGTCCACTCGAAGCAGACTCTGGTGATCCTGCAGAATGAGGAAGAGCAGTGGGCCCTGCCTCCCTGTGGCCCCGGCAAGCCCCAGTAGAGGAGCAGGCTCACCTTTATAGTAGAAGAGGCAGCGATCCACCAGGACAAACCAGCGCTTGTTCCACTGCTTCACCCCAGAGCTGGCCTACGGGACACATGGAGACAGGTGGAGGGGCTGTGAGCTGGGCGTGGGAGAGGGGGTGCAGGGAAAGGGGGGCGGCACTAACTATAAGGCCATCCTGCCTCTGGCTGCAGCTCTGTCCCTGACAAGTGGCAGCCAACCCCCCCGAGACCTCAGATACAGGAAAGTGACATTAGATTATTGTCTGCAACCTTCCAGGGCTGTCATCCCGGGCCTGTTTCTCTCCTGGAGAAGATAAAAGGGATGAGAGGTGAGCCAGGATGAGTGGGCAGAGGGTGGACGGGGAGGGCAGTGAAGTCAAGCTGGGAAGAATTAGTGGGCCCCAGGACTAAGGACGCGCCCCCTTCCTTCACAGCAAGAGGGGCCTACTGAGAATGAGCCAGTGGGATGCTCTGGTGGGGTTGGCGACCCAGCATGTTTCTGTCATTCCATCTGCCCAGTAGGAGACCTGGCTGGATTCCCAAATCCGACACTAATTTTCCTGTGTGATTTTGGGAATATACTCAACCTCTCTCGGTCTTTATAAAAGTAGGAGATGCATTCGCAGAGATATGACCTCCCAAAGATAGTCCATAGGAGGTCACCACCTTTTTCTCCAGCTTCTAGCAAAACACGGAGGCATTACTGTAACTACGGAGGCATCAGAGTGATGAGGAGAAACTGGACAGCAGAGGAAGTCTCACCTGTTTGAAGAGCCAGCCCGCCTTGGTGACAGGTGCATTAAGATTACGCTTCATGGAGTGTGAGCGCTTCCCAAAGGCGATGGCCTTGCGGGACGTTCGGGTTGCCTGGGGAGGAGGCAGACAGAGAAACCTGCCTGACTTTCCTCATCGTTCCCTCTCTGCTCTCCCTGAAGGGGGTTCACCATAGCTCTCTCCGCACCTGGGGCGTCCTGGATCTGTTCCTAACTCAAGGGTACAGATTTCCAATTCCTTGACTCTCTTTCTTATCTCTAAAATGGGGCTCAAAATAGTAGCCGGACCTGCCTCCCGGCGGCACGGATTTCAGCGTTGTTGTTGTTGTTGTTGTTGTTGTTTTAAGGAGAAAGTAAGAATTCGCATTTCACTCCTGGGCTGTCTTTCTTCTATTGCCCGACTCCCCACCTCTTTCATAATGCTTTCTGGGATCCATCCAAATGCCAGTAAATTCCCTGCATCATCAGCCTCTTGGAGTCCTACTCTCTCTCGAATGTCTGACATTGCAGGGAGCAGGGAGGACACACAGGGGTCCTCCTAAGCTCCTTATTGCCACATGGACACTGTCATCCTTCCACATTCTGGCAATAATCTCTCTGGAAGCATCCCTAATATTCCACTGTTCAGCTCTTCTCATCGCTGTCAGCTTCTAGATCATTCCTTCAGAGCCTTAGGACTCTGGTACCAATCATCCTCTTCATTCTAAGTCTTGCTATCACTGGGCATTGTCCTTGATGGTGGCCGATCCGATACCCTAACATTAGTACTGTGACAGCATCAATTCCAAAAGCATTTGCTGCTACCCTGACACTCACTCCCACAGCTGCCCATGCCCCTTCGCCACTAACATCTTCAGTTCTGGTATTCCCATGTCCCGACGCCATCCAATCCTTTGGGCTTTCTCACTCCATTACTCAACACCACCACCTTTTTCTACTCCACAGGAATCTCCAGCTCCTCGGTCCTTCCTTTTTTTTTTTTCTGGATCTATCAGCCATTGTCCTGGTTGCAGTTATTTCCCTATGAAGCCCAGGCTCCACATTGGGAGAAGTCCGCTGTACTCTCCAACACACCATCCATTGCCATTGCTGGAGCTTCTCAAAAACTCAAGATCCCTGAGCAACCATATCAATCATCCCCTTCCTGTACTCACAGCCAGATTATGGTCCATGATGATGGTTCTGCCAGATGAGTAGCACACTGCAGTACAGATGGGGTCAGCGCAGAGCCCCAGTCCCCAACCTCAGCCCCGCCAGCCCTCTCATTTCACTCCCTGCCCTGCCTGACCCCAAGCCCTGCACCTGACACCCTCCCCA